GCTCCCAGGGCCTCCGGAGCGGGGCCCGGGGCCGTGTCCTGGCCGGGGAGGGGACACTGTCCTGTCAGGCCGTGAGGGCGCAGACTGGTCCGGTGCCACAAAAGGTGTTTTTCTTTGTCTCTTTCTTCTCCGGCCAACAATAACACCTCATAAACCGGGCAGGGGCCCGCCGGTGGGGCGGTTTGGGGAAATTACGTGTTCTGCCTCTTTGTTTCTCGTCCTAGTGCTCATAAAACGATGGATCTGCTTTGCCTCTCACTTCTTCACCAACTTCTTGCTTTTATAGTGTCTGATTGCTGCTGTCCCCCCTCTCCTGTGTTGTGGCTGTTTTCAATGGGATCGATAATAGGGAGAAATTCCGGCTTTGTTTTTCTCCCTGTTTCATTTGCTAAATTTACCATGGTTTGTTGAGAATTTCTGTTGAAATGTGGCAGATCCCGATAATGATAAAATACTTTCAGTGGTATCTGTTGGATTTTAGCTTTTTTCTACTTGGAGGTGGAAGATGAAATGTGTGCTAGAACTTCCTTGGCTTGTTTTAAGCGTTTTCAATCAAATGCGTGTAAAACCTGCTCATTTAATGAGGTAATACTTTTGCTGATCAGTAGCAGTAGCACAGCTTTCAGGAGAGGCAATCTTCTACCCGTTGCGTATATGTTAGTATAAGTGTATAGTAGTCATGGCCAAAGCATTTCTTATAGAGATGTATATAGTTATGTGACGTTTTTATGGGTGATGTGAGCAATTATTAAGAGGATGCCCAAGCTCCTGTTGCACAGGAGGTGGCTTGTTTGTAGCGGTGGATGTTCTTGCTGTGACTGTTGAGTCTTGTGAACTAGCAGCTACGTTGCAGAAGGTGGTCTAGGAGACATGTTCTTAAGTAAAACAATACATTTCTGTGCGCAGTAGGATTATCTGCGTTTATGAGCATGGAGATCTAGAGAGAAGTTTGCATTCTGGAGCCTGACATTTGGTAGGAGTTTTAGGTAAGCAGTTCTCTCACTGAGTATTCATGATGTTGTTCAGACTGTGATACGTGTTTTGCACCTTCCTCAGTTATTAGAGGAGAAAAATGGTTTTTTGAGGCTGTGTACAGAATGGACAGGTTTCTCGATTGTACAGCGACACACCAACATCTGTGTATGGCTGAGAACCACAGCACACGTTCCTCAGATAATGGAAGTGCTGAAGCCTATATGCAATTTGCAGGCAGGCGCTGGTTGAGGGGTCCCCAAATCTGTATTTCAGGGTGGTGTTGGACTGAGTGTACTTTTGGGTTCCTGGGTGACCCAGAATTATTAATTCCAGTAGTCTCTCCTGCCTTTTTTTCACAACCGAGAACTTGTGTTTTCTAGCAGCCTCCCCGTCAGCATGCGCCTGGTGTTGGCCATTTGACACTGTAGCTTTGAGACAAAAGTTGGAGGCAGGGCCAAAAGCAACAGGGTGGTTGTCCGTTCCTGAGATGAATTGCCTGCTAATAAAGCACAAAGATTCTCTGTATGTGCGTGTTATGAAAATGTCTGGAGTACTGAACAGGAGAACAATCTCTGTGGGGTTTTATTGAAGACAGTAGTTGTATCAATAAAATAGAAGCAATCGTTTTGCCATAAAATGGATCTTTAGATTTCACATGGAATTTCTGAAAAAAATCAGATTTGGAGACTGCTTAGAAATTGAAACAGGTATATCTTTAGTGACTCCGTATGGCTGGATCCTTAATGTTGCTTACTTACGAGGATAAAAATCCACTCTGAAGGCTAATGGAGGTGCATCATCACTACAGGCTCTGTTAAATGTTTCTTGACCTTAAAAATGATTTTCTTATTGTTATAAGCACTGTACTACTACACATTCTGTAAGTTTTACCACTTTCTGGTTTTTACTCTCAGGTCAGATATCGCTTATGTTTACTCCCTGCTTGATGAATCATTCTCTTGCAAGTGGCTGTGAAATCCGTCGTATGTATTCAGGAACATTAGAGAAATGTGTTTTTACTGTAAAAATGATAGAAATGTCTAGCGTTTTGTGCACAAAATTACTTTGCAGAGTTTCTGCTAGGCTAAAAAAAGTTACCTTCTGTTTCTTCCTTTTTTCTCTCTCACTGTAATTATTCAATTTATTCTTCTATTTTCTTCTTTAATTATCTATATTATATTTATTATTAATATTTAATAATCTATCTATATCTACTATCAATTTTCTTCTGTCTCTCTCTTTCCTTTTTCTTGTCTTCCAGTTTTGACTCTACTAACACCATTGCTGATTTGCTACTCTTAGAGTGTTTGTTACCTTCTCCCGGTATCTGTACTTGCCCATCAGACACTATGAGGAGACTGGCTTTTCGAGGTGCTGGTTGTACTCTGGTAAATCTGGTAAATTATTGATTGCACGTGCACCATTCTCTCCATTTTTCTGCATTAGGCTTTTGCTTTTCTTTATCCTAACTATTAATTATTCTTGCATTATTCATTCATTGGTGTGCTGGAAATTAATTCTGTCTCTTAACATAAATGCTCTGATGCGGTTATGTTGTGCTGCCATACCTTGTAAATTAACTGAGTGCTTCCTAGAGAAATCCCTTGATTTGGTTGGAAAATGGGTTTAGGCTGGGATAAATGGATCTATTCTGTCTTCAGCCTTTGAGACAGCTACAAATAAAGATATTTTTATGATGTTGTCGCTGGAAGTTGGGAAAGAGCCAACAACTTGTTCCGTAAATCACCAGAGTTATTGGATGGTGGTTATTCATTTGTCACTGTTTGTGTTGATAAATGGAAAACTATGGCCAAAAAAGGAGGTGGCTTTTTCTACTTCTTGATGGTTTAGCCATTCTCCGACACATAAAGTGGGAGTGGTGGGTGACACGATGGTCCAGACCTTTTTTTGGCTTGAATCTAAGACAAGGTATTCAGTAGCCATTTGAATGTCAGTTTGTAAGACGTTTTGTTTGTGCGTTTTTTTGTTGTTGTTTGTTTGTGGTATTTGTTTTGGTTTTTTTTTTTTAATTTGACATGGAATGACTTGCTTTTACACCAGAACAGAGCAGTTGTCTCTGTACAGCTCTTTCCTTTAAAAGAGCAGTTCTCGCTTAGTTATCATGCAGGGGATGAAGTATCAAAATGTAGAGAGCTTAAGAATGTATCCTAGTAAGAGCTGCTAAATTCATCTTCATCACTGTGAGCCCAGGCTTTCTGACATTGCTGTCATCAGTGGCTATAAAACTGTAGGACCATTTTAATTTCCCTTTACTCCTGCCAGTTTTCAAAAAGCTGGTGTTTAGGGATATGGCTTAACTGAACTGTCATGTGTAACAAACATATGTGACTCATCCTAAAGCATTGCTAGCTTCATAGTTAGCTCTCACCAGAGAGTTTGGATGCAATGCCATGAGTTTAAGAACATTTGTCTTCATTATAGAAGAAGTTGGATTCCATGGGTTCCAAGAGGCGAAGAGCTACCTCGCCTTCCAGCAGCGTCAGCGGAGGAGACTTTGATGATGGCCACCACTCCACAAATATACCAGGCCCAAGCAGAAAGAGGAGGAGACTTTCCAATCTCCCAACTGTAGATCCGGTTAGTACCTTCTTATTATGCGCAACTTTTTCTTTTGGGGATACTATATCCCTATCTGGGAAATGCTGGACAGTAAAGTGAATGATCATATGCATTACATATACATTGGTCCTGAATCTGTTGCTGCTTTGGCTAAGCTTTGTTCAGAATCTGATTCAGCTTTGGCTTGTTCTTGTCTGCCCAGTTACATCTTTTTCTTTCCCATTTTCCTTTTGCTGCTTTTCTTTTTTTGCTGATGATTTTAGCAGATGGAAGGATATTGGAGAAGGAGCTGAAATCATAACACTGAGAAGTTGAGAGCTGTGTCTGAATAGCAAATGCAGAGAGAGATAAGTGGGGAATGGCACAGGCAGTGATTGCTGAAGTGTACAATGTCTCTGTTATACCTTTGAGTTAACAGTCTAATTTTAATTAATTGCAGGGCAGAAGAACCCCTGTCGTTATTTTAGATGTCTATAACTTGGAGAGAATTGTACTGAATTAATTTACATTTTGGGTGTTTTACTTAGGATTAGCATTGAAAGAAAGCTTCCTATGTTCAAAAAAATAAATTAAAATTCTGCAGTACGTGGCATACTTGTCAAGTATCATTCTAATATATGAGATCCACCAATTTCTTCACACTTCTGCTTTAGAGCACGCTGTGGATTGGCAGCTTGTCTTTCCCATTGTAAGCAGGCTTTGATTTGTTACCTCCTTAAAATTTTCTCCTTTTTCATTACTTTATTGTTCTTGCATTTTAGATTGCTGTATGCCATGAACTTTATAACACCATCAGAGATTACAAAGATGAACAGGGCAGGCTCCTTTGTGAGCTTTTCATTAGGGCACCGAAACGAAGGTAAGAGCATGGTTCTGGTTAAGCCTTGAACCTGAGATTTAATCAGGGAGTGGATATTGAGTAATACTGCAGCATTAATAGCTGTGAAAAATTTAAGCTGAATTTCTCATAGTTTCACACTGGTGTTTGATCTGAGTATTTGTTGTAATTGTTCAATGGGACATGCTAACATTGGTGCCCTTTTTCAGTCAAAAAAGAATACGCTGAATTAATTTAAAATGTTTCTTGTGACGCCTGCCTAAAACATCTATGTGTATGACTATAAAATATTCAACGTAAGTAATGGAATGTAACACTGAGGGCACATCTTGGGAAGATTAATAGAAGTGACCCTTGAAAATGTAGTAGATAAAGTAAGAGACTGAATTTTGTCTTAAACTCAGAAAATTGAGGGTGGTAACAGAATATGTAATACAGGAAGCCTACAAATAGATCACTGCCCAGATCTTTTAGCTGTAACAAAAATGTAGTGGAACTTTCTTTGTTTTATTTAGTCATAGACACGTACAAAGTTTAGTGCTGTGGTTTTGGTTTTACTGCTTGGAATATAATGCTTGTTTTTGTCATTGCAACAGAAATCAGCCAGATTATTATGAAGTGGTTTCTCAGCCAATTGATTTAATGAAAATCCAACAAAAGCTAAAGATGGAGGAATATGATGATGTGAATGTGCTGACTGCTGATTTTCAGCTTCTCTTTAACAACGCAAAGGCTTACTATAAGGTGAGGAAATACATATAAAGGCTCAAATTAATTGTAAAAGTGGTAGAGATATGTTCAAATTCTTTCTTGGTTTGGCCAAAAAACTTTTCAGGTTATCCTTTATTATTGTAAGAGAACAGCACACATTGCAGTTGTTTGCACATATTTCTGTAAGTTTGATCATATCTTTGTAAGATGTCCTACTATAGCAATTTTTCTGTTGAAAATTATAAAGTAATGTGGGGACGTTCTTCATGTAGTTTTCCAGAAGAGATAGAAAGCAAAAAAAGATGTAAACTGAGAAAAATACTCTTCTATAAAAGCCTTCCCATTTTACTACATGCTCTGTATCACCTTTTGAAGTAGAAAAAGATATTTTTTTTTCCCCAAAGTAAGAGTTTATAAACAACAGCAAGCATACAGTAGGAGAGTTGAATCTTCTAGTGCGCTTAAAAATATGAAAAAAAGGCATGCTGATTATCATGGTCAGGGTGATAGGTTGTGAGTCTATGTGACAGTGTATTTCATCAAGGGTGCAACCCCCATGTCCATTCCCCCAAACTGGGTATGTCTTTTTATTTTAGATGGTAATGGTTTTTATTGCAGTTGCCTTAAGGATGTGGAGAAAAATTGGATTAATCTTGTGTAATGGGAGGCTATGTTAAACACATAAAACAGTGAAACTGTATGGAGTGACTGAGGTGATACAGCAAATCTAAAACTGCTAATATTGCCTTTCATATGTCTTTGACTTTGGAGATGATCCAAATGACTGCTTTCTGAATAACCCAACCAGTGTAACCGTGTGTCATTCAGCAAAGCAATGTTGATTTTGTTTGTGCGTGTGTGTGTAGCTTTTTGAAAAACAGTCAGATTTATGGATTAATGTATTTGCACATTCTGGTTACAGTAGAAAAAGTACAAAGATTTCCAGATTCATTATGTACTCCTGAAGCTTTGCAAGGCTCTCACCCTTTAATGTTGGCTTTTTCATGGTTTCTACATGAGGGAGAAGAACTTGATGGCAGGAAAGAGCGATTAGAGGTTTACAAAATGGGTGCTGCCTGTGCCTACAAGATAGTGGACTCAAAATTATGCCTGTATCATAAAAATCTTGCACGTAGAATAGAAATGGGTAGCCATTATTCTAGGATGAAGGAATGTTTACATTTCCAGAGAAATACAGAGTTGTGAGCTGGAGGTATGGCACACAAATATAACCTCTTCTCTTTTCATCTTTTACCTTACCCACGCAGTTCCAATGACGCATATAAAACAGGGACAACTGATTCATCGTCAAGGTCTTTATTGCAGCAGATGTTTTATTTGCAATGCTAGATTAGAATGGAAACCTTTGGGTTTTTGGTATTTTGGTTCAAGTGTTACACTTTGTACCATCTTGCATTAATATAGAAGGAAGCAAACTAGTGGAGGAGAATACCCTTTAAATCTGTTCCTCATAATTAACATCTGGTCTCATGGTTTGAAAATACTTAAGCCTAATAAGGTAAGCTTAAGAATAGTTCTCGTGTTGGTTTCTCATTTGTATTACAAGCTGTCAAAGGCTGAGAGAGTGAAGTAAGAAGAGCATAATCTGCTCTGTACTAAGGTGACATATCTGCAGGGATACCTGAAATAGAGGTTAAGTGACAGAGGAAAGGGAAAGAAAAGTACATAAGAGTGGAAAAGCAGTCTTTTTTCTGAGTAATGTTCTTAAGTAGTAATGTTAATAGACACATGCTTGTCTGCCGCTACCAACTCCGTATTTACAAAACTTAATTTGCAGACTAATGCTTCTAGCTCTTCCAAAAAATACACCTAGGTGGGTACCCAGGTAGTAGCATGTTGTCAAGTTCTTGTAGCTCGTGTCAAATTCACAGTTAATGCTGAGTGTAGATCATTGCAGTGCTTTTAAAGATATTGGCATGTTTATTGTCATTCTTCTTCCATAGAAATTAATATTCAAGTGCCACATAATGACAGCAGTATTGGCTTAAATCACATTTCTGGCATACTGGTATTTAGTGTATTTTAAATATCAGTAGTGTTATGCTTCAACAGAACCTAATGATTTCTCCAGATTCATCTAATAGGCTGGTCCAAGCCTCAACCCAAGTAATTTTATTGCTAAGTTTTCTGAAAGACTGAGATGCTTTGGAGTGATAGATGTTATATTTTCTAGTGCTTATTGTGATTCCTAATGTCTCTGTTGAAGAACAACTGAAGCAGGAATTTCCCAGGTATACATTTCCTTCAGGTAAGAACGATCTGAATTTTGAGTAGAATGTTTGATTTGTTTTTGCAGCCAGATTCTCCTGAATATAAAGCTGCCTGCAAATTATGGGAGTTGTATTTGCGCACAAAAAATGAATTCGTTCAAAAAGGTGATGCAGAGGAGGAAGACGAAGATGAGGACGGACATGACAATCAAGGCGCAAATTCTGAATTAGTAAGTGTGGGCAAGACAGCTGCAGTTGGGTAGGCCATGGCTGTGTACATCAGCTGACTGAGAGGGAGGTTGGCCTCCATATGAGAAAAAACATAAAGTCTTTTCGTAGTTACATTATGCCCTAAAAGGTAGCTCTTAGAAGAGTTTATTACTTAATAATTTCACAGCACTGCACGTGTGTTTCACTTTGCCTAGCAAAAAAAGTTCTGACATTTTCTACATGGATAAAACGTGGTTCTGGTTTAGTTGAAACTAATATGATGTGTGCTTGATATCATGCCAACATTGAGGTTTGATGCAAGCAAGCTTCATGTCTAATGGCATCATTTTCCAGCGAGTGTCCCAATCAGTTAGTGCAGCTGTTCCTGTAATGTTCTATAAGCCAGATATGATGACAGGAAGTTTGGGCTTGTCTGGTTTTTGTAATGTTGGGATGCATGTTTTCATTAATGTTGACAAACAAGTCTGTTCTAACAGGATGTGATGTATGTCTGACAGTCTGCAGTGTAAATGTGAAATTAAAGTTTTCTCATGTGCTTTACCTAAATGCATGAACAATGTTGTTTTCAAAAGTCTCATCTGTGTTTTGTGGCTGGGTTTTTTTTCTGTTTTTGAAAAGGAAATTCATGTATTTCAGTACAACTTGGAAGTGCTTCACTATGGCTGCTATTAAAACTCATGGTGATTTTGTTTCTTCTATTAGTCATCTCCAGGTTACCTGAAGGAAATTCTTGAACAGCTTCTTGAAGCTGTAGCTGTTGCCACAAACCCATCAGGACGCCTCATAAGTGAACTGTTTCAGAAACTTCCTTCTAAAGTGGTGGGTGTTTTAGTAATAATTAGTTGTGTTCTAAGTTGGAAACCTGGACATTTATATAGCTGATGTTATACGTGATGATGGGCACACTCAGGATGCAGTTCTTCGTTGCTGTGTCATCAGTGGCAAACTCGAGCTGGTTTTAGAGCTTCCCTCCCTTCTTTGCTCCTACCCACTCGTTCCCAGCCCTTCATTGCAGATTTGGGCTTGCCCTGTTCTGCTGGTTTAGGCAATTGGGTTTTTTTGGTGCAGAGTTTTTAATTTTTAAAGTTTAACCGGCAAAACAAATACTCTGAAGACCCTCACCATGTATTTGGCTTTCAGACAGAACTGTTCCTTTATGTCAGTTTATTGATGAATTATAATTCCTTGTGTCTGCCTTATGATCTGGCTCACTCAAATTGAAGCCTAGTACTATGTTTATGAAGCTTACACTGTTCCTATCTGCAATTCATCTAATAGTTCGTTCTGTGAGCTATTAGAACAATAGCTTTGTGACTATTTAATATATAAATTATTTTTGTTTTCCAGCAATATCCAGATTATTATGCAATAATAAAGGAGCCCATAGATCTTAAAACTATTGCCCAGAGGATACAGGTACAGTATGAGCATATTAATGTGTCAGAGTATAGACATGTTTAACAGTAAGCATTCTAAAATTATTAGAAGCCAAAGTTCATGGCGGTAGGAAAGGCAATGTGTTTTTCCCCTGCTATTTAAAAATCTGAATGCTATGCTGATTTAATGTTCTGTCCTGGGTTAATGCTGCAGAAGTAGCTGTATTGAAGATCGAGCATCATAAACTGTAGTGTGCTGGCGTTGAGCCTGAATATTTTGGGTTCCATGATGGTTTAAAGTAGTTCCTTGGCAAGTAGTGCTCATGTAAAACATTGAAGTATTGAAGTTTGGTCGTGCATTATCATCACCTGCTTTTGTTCTAGTGCTATAAATAGACGTTTTGTACTGATGCATTTTTCATCTTACTTCTCCAGTGATTTGAAATATTGTTCTGTAATTCTAGCATTTTGTCTAATAGTAAGGGATCGCACATAGCCTAGCTGAACTAGCGAATAAAGGTAAAATAGCATTTTGTCAGAACCCTTCAAAATTAAGATAATCTAATGTATTAAGTATTTTTTTCAATCTTTTACTTAGCATTCATAAGCTCTATAAGGACTTAGCACTTAATGTTTGTTACGTTCTTTTTTGATGACTTTTCCCAGATACTTATCTGTTCTCTTTATAAATATGTTCTGGTTTTTCTATAAATGTTCCCTTTATTCTATATGAACTCCTGTTGCTTTTCACTATTGACTTAGATCTCATGATATCTGAAGATTGCCATTTCAACCAGTTCTGTTTTTTATTGTATAGAATGGGACTTATAAAAGCATTCATGCAATGGCCAAGGATATAGATCTTCTGGCAAAGAATGCCAAAACCTACAATGAGCCTGGATCACAAGTATTCAAGGTTAGTTTCAGTTGTTCATAGTTTAATTTGAGTTCAGATTTTCTTTACTAGTTTCTATGCTGATTAATCCTTATTGAATCTTTAGCATAAGGCCCTAAAGACTCTGTTTGCATTTTTTTAAAAAATAGCTATTAGTGGCTTTTCCTTTTTTTAAATTGCTTTTAGTATAATTGGGGTGTATGTAATTTTTTTTTTTTTCCTTGAGGTATATGATTGTTTCCAATTAAATTGTATCTCGGGAGATGAGTTACGTGACTTCATTAGAGGAATGGAGGATCCCTGTACTTGTGATTGAAGTTGAAATGGCTGAAGCTACAGGTTCAAGTGACAGCAGTAGTACTCAGCTGTTAACCTCTTTCCAGATTGCAGGAACAGTGTATGGTTTTCATCATACGCTTCAAAACCAGTCATGCCTTCTTTGAATAGTTTTGGAAGATCCTCTTCATTTTAGACATATTTTTGTGACCAAATTGCACCTCCTATCTTTTTCATCCTTACTTCACTAGCATTTTGTATGCAAGTTATCACATTGTTGTTTCCATGTACTCTGGAAATAAGAGTGTTCTAGTAGGAAATTCCTTTGTGTGCTCGGTTTTTAAGGGCTTTGTGGTGAGAGAACTTGTATATGTGTAACACTATGAAGTAAGTGGTTCTTGGACTTTTCCAATTGCACTTCTGTTTGGATTGTAGTTTCGGTTTCTCGCAACATTACTCACACTTGTAACCTCAATCAAAAGTTGTAATCTGTGTTTTGTGAACTGTTACTCTGAGTATCAGGTCCACGGGTGTAGAACGAGAGCGAGCAAGCGTTGTAAAGCTGGGTAATGGTAGTAACTTTTTGATTGCAAAGGCACAGAAACTCACTTGCCTGTTTAGTTCAAAGTGGTATTTGTGTATATTTGCAAATTGTTGGGTTTGTGTTTTTTTAAAGAATACAACAAAATATGAGCTTGGAGCTACTCACGTATTCTATTCAGTTTTTACAGGCCACTGTGGGTGTACTTCAGGCAGACTTTGTTCTATGCTTTATTTCTCATGCAAAATTGTTTTATATCTAAATGTAAAACTGCCTTGATTTTTGTTTTAGGTTTTTAGATAGATGAATATAGCGGACTATAACATTCTTCACTTTCATCATTAAACAAAAAAATTCTTTTAATTGACAGGATGCAAATGCGATTAAAAAAATATTTAATATGAAAAAGGCTGAAATTGAACACAGTGAGTTGGCCAAGTCAAGTCTCCGAATCAGGTACTGCAAATAGAGTTGTTCTTATAATCTCGTATAAAAATCTCTATAGACATTCCCTTAATTTTGCTGTGGAGGATAGAGCGGGAAATAATTGCTTGAAAACTTAGTTTATTGTTCTTTTAAAAATTATAAATTGTAAAATGGTTTTTGGAAGGAAACTTTATTGAAATACATCTGTGGTGAAATATTTCTGTGATGTACTTGATTATGAAAAACAGTGCCAGTGGATCTTTTATAACTTAAGCTATGGCCAACTTCTACGTGTGTTTATAAGTTAACAACAGAAAAGGAATAGTGAGGAACAAGGTGCTTTGTTGTGCTTGATTTATGGAAAATGCTGGATATTCTTGAACCTTGTTAGGAGCTTAGACATAAGAGCTCACAGTTAATTAGGTAGAGGCAGAAACATAGGAACAAGATGTCAGGCAAAAGGTATTTAGAGGGAAGTCCACTTTATATAAACTGTTGTTTGTAAACCAAGTTCTAGCCCTGAAAAGAGGCACAGGGTACTGAATATCTGGACTTATTAATCAGTGAAGCATAGATTTGGTCTTGAACAGGCAGGTATAAAACAGTGTTGATAGCTCTATTTGTTTCATGGAATGATTTTATTTAGGAAATAGCATTTTCTTCCTGTGAAAATCCATAGTGTACAAAGAAGTGATGCAGTCATTTTAGGAATTTCTTATCTGAAATGCAGTTAGTTTTTTTCTCGTATAAACTTTTTACCTACTTTTGAGTGTTACTTACAAGTATAGATACTATTTGCCAGTATGAGCTGTGTCATTTATCTAAAAAAATAAAGCAATGTCTAGCAAGTCATCTAAGGAGTTAGGAAACTCTTTACAAGATAGACTTTATTTGAGCTGTTTACTGGTGTTTGATGCTGGAAAATAACTGCTGTCATTTCCAGCAAAGGTTTGTATGGTACAACTGAAAACACTAGCACTACCTTACTTTACTGGAAGGCAGTCTAAATTTTTTTGTTGTCTGACAAATGTCTAGATGGTTTCAGTATTAAAAGTATTGCATAGAATTATTACGTGTGGAAAAAATGGAAGTTACCTGATTGATTTTTACTATTTGGTGCTTTGAGACATTCAACCTGTGAAGTGTTTTTTCTGGTTCACTTGCTCAGCGTTAGCATGCTTCCCATGTTTGGCTGAATCATTGCCGGAGCATAAAAAAATATAAAAGCAGAAATACTGTTAGGGAGTAATTCCTGACACATTTTAATAATTTTCCTTCTTGAGCGTATGTGTAGTGCCAGAAGACCTTGATTCTACAGACACTGAATGTTCATATGTGTTTGCTTGCAGTAACTAGAGTTACATATAGGCATATTTAAATTGTGATTTTATTTTTCTCACTATGTTGGCCATTGATGAAGTTCAGGATGTCACAAGTGTGTCATGTTTAATTTTGAAGCTTAACTGTTTTTCTTCAAAATAAAGCTGTTTGCACAAGAAGGGATGACAGATAAATCACACTGGTATTTGTTAGTTGAATTCCTCTCTTGCACTGCCAACCCATTTCCACTTCTCAGCTACCTTATTCTAGACGTTCTCTTATGTACTGTGTTCTCAATAGACCTGCAAATTCTGAAGTAATCTGAATGTCAGAATAATTGACAGCTCCCTCCTTTGTTTCTCTCACTTGGAAGACAAAAAAAAAAAAAGCCTGAAGCAGGCTACAATAATATTGGGCTGAACGCAAAGAAAACTTGTGGTGAGAGAAAAGTATCGTGAAAACCAAACCTTTCACCTGCTGTTCTGTATTTCCCCAGTTGCTATTTTTATCAAACCATTATTCATTTTTTGTTTCTTTCTCCTGAATCTGCATCACTATTCTTTTGTTTAAAGTCCTAACTGCTTAATTGTCTCAAAGGGGAGTCTTCTTTACCTATCGCTGATTTTGGTAAAATACCCTCGTAAATTCATTTAAAGTTAATTTACTATATTTTTCTTCTGAATTTACATCTGTTTTTCTTTGTCCTTGATGGATCAGACTCAAATTCATCGTAACGCTACTAACCTAAATTCTACAGACATGTTGCCTATGTGTCAAAAGTCATACTTTTCTATTGCAGAGTTCATTGTATCCTTTGTCATACTAAATTGCTCTTTATTGGTGCATTTAACTGTCCTCCCTTAAATAATGTGGCAAAATAAAGTTCCTTGACAATACGTACTGTCAAGCAACTTGACGCTAATTTTGTTAAGAATTGATAAAACGTGATTGGCTCTGTATGATTAGCTCTATCTGGGTGCTAAGGAACATTTTGTTGGCTGCTTTCACTGCTATTGTAGGCTGAGCTGTGTGTATAGCTATTAATCCTCAATCTAAATGTTGCCTTCCTCTGACTTTATAAACAAAAACAATATTAATGCTGGGGCACTAAATGTATCTTAGTATTACTTTACTTTTAGCTTTAAAACATTTTATATCTGTCTCTGAACCTTTTGGCTGATCTATCAAAGTAATTCTGTAAAAAGCTTTGTCCTTGCTGCGTCTTTTCTTGGGTCTAAGGTGGGCCTCTTTTTTCCCCTTTCCTTGGCTTGTCTCTTCTGCATTAAGGACTCCATCAAATTTGACTGCTTCCAAGCTGACAGGTCCTTCCTCACAGGGTAAAGGCAGTGTTGGTGATGAGAGAAATTCTTCTAACAAATATTATCGGTAAGTAAATTGTGGACTTAGAGGAAAAGCTGGGTCCTCATCATATGGAAATACTAAAATTTTGGGTTCAGTTTGGGTTTTTTGTTTTTGTTTTTGGTTGGGTTTTTTTTTTAGTTGAGAGTGCTCTTCAATATTGACTCAAATGCTTCTGAGTTTCAAATATATTTCAGTCAAATATCTATTAAGTATGATTTAGTAAGTTACTTTGCCATAATTACTCTTCCATATTTGAGTTTATATTTAGCATTTCAAAACACCTGTCACGAAATGCTCTGTATGCAGTTATTTCCTTAGAAATGTTCTGAGTATGTTAAGTTTCATGACAAAATAAAACGGGTGGAAAAAAACGTGGAAATACGTTGTAAATCTAGAAAAATTGTATTTGGAGACTAAAAAGAAATCATCAATAGGACTAAATAATTAAGAGAGCGATGGTGGAAACCAATGAAGCCTGTAACATGAAAGTATTGCATTTGGGATGCATTTATGGCAAACTTGCTGAGTAGGCTGGATTGCTGGAGGCTTTTGGGTTTTTTTCTTTCAGTCCTCATTTGAGAATTTTGGTACGTAGCCGAGGTCTCATGTCTGCAGTCTCTGCGTTGCTGTCTTGAACCAGTACTACTCCTGGCTAATTCCTTGCCTGTATACTCCGAAACCACGGTTTCAACCCAGCAGCTGCAAAGGTCTTTAAGGGTCTGAGCATTTGTACAGAGTTGGTGTCATTTTAAACAACCCACCTGCTTTTTCCCAGTCTTCACTTTGCTCCCACAGGGCAAAGCTGAGCCCATTGCTGGAGATGCCTAAAGAGCTGACCTAGTGAAAAAGCAGAGATTGTCAGGCGTAGCCTACGGTGTAGGTATGAAACGCTGTGCCCCAGGTTTGGGACAAAAGGGAGTAAGAGAGGGGTCCTGAAGAGAAGTCTTTGTGAGACCGTAGCCAGCATGGGCCCTGGTTCACTCCACCTAGAAAGCAGAGGAAGCTGCCTCACATATTCAGCACTCTGTGTGCTGGAAACGGCCAAGGTGGGGATGGGGGAAGATAGCATATACAGCTGACAGTGTGCGTAAGTTCCTTCGTGTAGACAAATGCCTGTAAAACAAGATCAAATACGGGAGGGACTTGTTACCATCTCCTTTCTTCCCCAATAATTCAAATACTCAAGTATTCAAAGTAGGACAGAAGGTTGCTAGCTTGAGCTCTAGCTTTCTGATTATGTGTCCAGTTTTTCAGTTTGATGGACCGCCTCTTAAAATAGAGCCAGCCTCGCGGGTCGTTAACAGTTTCCCTTGTTAAGGGCTCCAGTCTTTTCTTGCACAGTCACGTCTGTATTCCTGATAATGTAGACAACCGTTACGAGCTGAGCTTCACGTGTTTACTTAGACACTCTGGGTGACTGTTAATGGTTAACATGATAAGCCTTTTTTTAAAAAAATTTTACACATTTTTTCTTTTTACTTTTTCTCTTTTATAGTAACAAAAGGTCAGCCCAAGGGGATCGTTTATCAGCAATAACCATGGCATTGCAGTATGGATCAGAAAGTGATGAGGACGCAGCTTTGGCTGGTAGGAACTGAAATGCAGTTTATCTATTTATTTTCTTTAATTGAAATGTTTGGAATAAGCAAAATTATAGAGCTCCTGATATATTCAAATATCTTAATTTCAAAAATATTTTGCAGTGTTTAAAAACTCAGCATGTAATTCTGTTAAATCCAATCCCTGTTTCCTCTAAGTACAAATCTGTAAATGCACAGCTGGTAAGACAGGGTAGTCCAAACTTGCTTGCATGTTTTGAATTTAGCATGTGTGTTTCCAAGTATACTTATCCAAGCTTTAGGAAACTATTGCTTGGTTTTATTCCTTCTAATATGAAACAGAAGAGGAGGCACTGGGGGAAGACATTGGATGCTGCTTGCAGTAAAGGAGATTTTCAGTGCCGCAATTGTTTGAGAGAAGTCTTGCTCACACGGGCTTGTTCTCTCTTGCTCTCTTGTGCCATTGGGTCTTCTAAGTACCTGTGAGGTTTTATTTTTTTAAGGTGAAGGTAATCTATATGAGGTATAAGGATAGATAAGTGTTAGAACTTAATTTAGAAATATCTGGCCTAACCTAGCAGTCATGAAATCTTGTGTGAAGCTTTATGTTGAAACAAAAGCACACAAAAAGGCATGCCTTCATACAACATCCTTAGTTTCATAATAAGCATTCTTTAGCATTATACTACGGGCATATATGCCATAATATGTGCATTATATCAGATATTTCAGTATTGGTTATAAATTCTTATATGTTGTCTTTTAAGTTAGACTGTCTTGATAGTTACATTCTCAGTAACTTCCTTGCATTCATCTCAGAGCAGGTTTCCAAAATGTTTTTGTACACATACTGTTGTTTTATTTTTCACTTACATTTTTTCTGCATTGATGTGAAATGATGCATCTCTTCAATATATATTTTTGGGGCTTATATTTCACACCTGGTAATTGAATTGTACTTACCACTGTTTTCCAGTGGATGGATATCCTGTACAATTTTTTGGGTCATTTTAGATCTTGCTGCAAGCAAAAGCGTTTTTATTGCTGGTTAGCCCAGAGTTCAGTTATTGCTTCAGAGCAGCTGCATTCTGGGATGTGTGACAAGTATTTATTAGCTTGGTTCAGTGTGATTGTTAGCTGCTATTTTTGCAAATTGTAATTCTGTAAAACCACATAGTTTTTTAAGTCTTTGATTTAAATTATTGAAGTGATTTAACCACTTTCAGGTGCCACCTCTACTGTGGACATTATTGTCATTCTCATGGTGCCTTTCTTACGTATCTGAGATTTTTGCCTTGCTGCTCTTGAAGCTCTCCTATCTTTATTGTGTTCACCTAAGACTCCATGTCAATTTTTCTGGCAGCCCTCTGTCACCCTTAAGATTTTCTGTCCCTCCAACCATACTACTTGGACATCCTTATGCTTTCACTCTCTGGATGAAAAGGATTTTTATTTAAACCAGGTGGTCTTTTTATTAGTTACTCTGATATCTCATCTTTTTTCCTTCCTCTAACACTTGTTAAAAGAAGTGAGAACTAGACTGCATGACTGAACATGAAGAGAATTTTCTCCTTCTTGATACAGAGAACTAAATCTTCTTGAGCTTCTTGGATTGTAGCAGTTGCCTAAGGAACAAAAAATATCTGTTTCCAACTTGGAGTTTATCCTCACAGTTTCAGAGGGTGTCATGGTGTGATGGATCTTGTAGAAGATTTCCAACTGAAATGTACTAGGACATGAGCAGCTTCTGCAGCTCCCTTGCTCCTCATTATCAATCTCTAAAGGCAGGCATAGATGGTCATTATGTATTCCTTATTTATAAGTATTTCATTTTGTAAACGAAGCTATTTTATTTCTTATTATTTCCTTTAGAAAGGTTTTAAGACTGGATGCTGCTTTTGGTTTTACTAGCATCTATCTTCAGTTAGACTTCGAGCATTCATTGTTGTCTAGGTGCTTTGGGACCATGACGGAGACAGTGTTTAAAACAAATCACTTACTGAGTAAAGACTAATTTTCTTCCATATACATTCAAATACTGTCCTCTCTCTCTGCTCTTTTTCTGCCTCATCATTGAGTAAGAGTACATGTATATAATATATGCATTTATACCTGATAATAAAGCTCAGTTCCAATTGTAAATTAGATGGCTTTCTCCTTTTGCAGTGAAGTCAATTTAACATCACTTCGTTATGAAGCTGTCCCTTCATTAGGAAACAGTCACTGTGGTATGGAATGAACAGCCGGAAATATGTTTTGTTTGGGACTACTGAATGGCATATATTTTGTGGTTACAATTTACTGCGTGGTTGGTTTTTTTTTTTTTTTTTCCTGTATCTGCTAAGTGTAGTTGTGGTAACAGCTGCATGAAAGGGGAGTAACTGACTGTTACTCTCCACTGCCAGTGTGTGCTTGGTGGGGATATGGGACTGCGTGCTACTGCATATTAAAGAATCTAAAGTCTTGCATTAGATTGTTCCATAGCAAAATATGGTTTTTTTCTGTCTTCTGATCTGAATAATACGTTCTTCTTCAGCTCTTAAGATAACAGGTTTCATATTAGGACACACTATAATTTTCTGAATGTGTAAGAACATGTAACGTTTGACAGATCGCTTTTAAAGAACATACACATCATAATGAAAATGTTTATAGCTGTATTACAGTATTATGTAAACACTTTCCTTTTAGTGCCTGTTTAATCTGCTTAGATTTTTATCTTAGGGAATGCCTCGTATTGTACTTTCAATACAAAGGAAGTACATTTCTTAATTAGGGCATTGAACTGCTATGTTGCTGGCTGCCACGTGTCAGGGAACAGCAATATACTTGACTAGTTTCTTATTTTTTCTCTTTCATAAAAAACAAGTTCTGCTTTTTATATTATGCTTCTTACTTTTTGATGGAGCACTCAACTGAACTCTTTGAGTAAACAAACTGAACTGAACTGTTTGAGTTAAAACAAATCAAAGACAGTATTTTGCTGCATAATCTATTTTGGAAACTTACTTTACCTGTTAGCATTCTCTTAGCTATTAGCATTTATCTGCACGTTCGGGTTGATGTGTTAGGTACAGCAGAACATAGTGCTACCTCCAATCTTTTGTTTCTACTGGAGTTATTCTGTCCAGCTGCTGCTTTGTTGGCTACTGTGTAGTAGATGCTAGGCAATTAAGTGATGCTGGTTGACATACAGATACATTCTCTGATAATTAGGATAATTTTGAGTGTCTTTGAGTCGGTAATGAACATCTTTGTTATGTGTTTGCATCTATACTGAGATCTGCTTGTGTTTTAGCTTGCATCCAACTTTTCTGGTAGGTCCCATACGTCATACAGTCACATAGATCTGCAATGTCAGACTGCAGAGGGAAAATGATAGTACTGTGTTGTTATGCAGTCAGAGCATCCCCTGGCTTTGTCATTATTTCAATATGTCTTTACTGAACTTGGATAGAAAGTTTGAAACGTTGCCAGCCTCCACTGAGCAATAATGAAAATGCCAGCTGGAAACTTGGCGTGCGTGTTGGAGAACTGTCTTTTGTGTAGCTGAATTACCCAGTGTGTCATCTGCCAAGCTTTCCTTCAAACTTCAATTCATAAGAGGGGAAAAAGGGTGAATAATTTCACTTTGGTATGTGCAAAACCACATAGATTTTATGTTATGCTTGTCTGCAAGGTGCAAATGACACCATTTGTGCTACTGAGAAGCATGGAAGGATTGGTCATTTGTTGCTTCCTATCCTATGTTTCCACTATCAGCGTTTTTTCATTCCTGTTGTGTTTCTGTTACCCATGTAATGTTTCTCCTAATTTTATCTGCAGTAAACATTAGCTCTTCATAGCATTTCTTTCATTCATTCTAAACCTGAAGCACAATATATGCTTCATATAGATAACCAGAAAAGTTTGCTATAGAACTTGTAAATACTTTATTATGAAATGTTTCTGCTAATTATATAATAATTGTAAAATATTTATTCCTTCATTTTGCTGCATATGTTAGAAGTGCACCCTCAGGCTTTAGTGTCAGTTTTTTTCTGCTAAACTTCACAATTTTTGAATTGAGCTGTGATTAATATGGTCTAAGGCATTATAGAAATTTTGAAGTCAGCTTTTTGATATATACGCAAAATTTCATTTTTAATTTAGCCGTTTTGCTTAACTGGCTGGGCACCTTTGAAAATTCCAGCCATGGTTTGTCAATTTGTATTTTTGTAGTGAGCTCTTGTCAGATAGCAGAGTGGCAGTAGTTCAATATACAGATGTATTTGGCACAAAGATTAGTATTAATGGTTTGATGGGTAAATAAGGATGTAGCTGTTGTATAGGTAGTGTGTGGCTGAGTACTGCTGTTATGTAGTCTCATATATGAACACTTCTCAGCACGTGTCGGTGGCAAGGGAGTATTACAGTGACAGAAGTCTCATCCGATAAGCAAGATTGCAATACCTAGGTAAAGTGCTTTTTTTGTCAGCTTGAGCCTCATAAGATATATTTGTGATGTCCTTTTCTGAGGTATGAATCTGACTGCCAGAGTAGCTGAACACCCTCTCCTGAGGGACTGCTTTTTCTTCTGGTTTAGATCTTTATCCATTTGAAAAGTCAACCAAAAAACCCACTCTGAGTTGCCCTGCTGAGTTTCCTATTTTTCCTTTCTCTCTGTGCAGCTGCTGCTCGTTATGAAGAGGGAGAATCTGAAGCTGAGAGCATTACTTCCTTCATGGACACTTCTAATCCTCTTTATCAGCTTTATGACACAGTTAGAAGTTGCCGAAATAATCAGGGCCAGCTCATATCTGAACCCTTTTTCCACTTACCCTCCAAGAAAAAGTATCCTGATTATTATCAGCAAATTAAAGCACCTATTTCATTGCAGCAGATCAGGTAAGAAAACAGAATGCAAACTACATCTGGTGGGAAACTATTCAAGGGTTTCTTTTGTTTCCAGAATCCTATCTTGTGGTCAAGCTGTCAATACTTAATGCAGTATATACTGTCTTTCCTGTACATTTGGTTGCTTCTCGTTTCAACTCAGTCTACATCAGTCTTTTGATCATCTTCTATAGATGGCTGCCGTTAGGTTTATTTGCTATGAAGTTTCGTTCGTAATGTGCCTGAAAGGTTGCCATGTCAATGATTCTGAAGGCTCGGTGAGCAGCAGAGATGAAAGGTTCTGCAGAATCCCCCCACTGTTTTTCCTTGACCCTGATGGCTTGGTTACCTCTTACTGCCATCTTTTTTAAATTAATAGTCTTCAGCAGTGTGAATTGTAGAAAGATAGTTGCAATTACATTCCTTTTGTCTAGGTCACAATAGAACTGTGGAGAATAATTATTTTCATCCATGATGTAGCTAGCCTGAGCTGAAGTACCAAAGCAGTGCACCATTTATAAATCTGCGAGCCATGAAAGGTTCAATCAACTGCCAGTTGTTGGACTTAAAACCTGAGTGAAAAAAAGTGAGCAATATCTTTCTTCAGCAATCTAAGCTACGCTAATATGAGGGATATATGTCAGGGTCCTGAGTGCATTAATAGACCTTAACGGCACTGGCCAGCCGCGGGTGGCCCTGGCCTCCTGCCCAGTGGCCCCTGGGGCTCCAGTCCCTGCCTGAGCTACACTGCAGGAGTGCTGGTCCTCCAGCTTTAGTGAGTGAGGACTGGATCCTGACACTGTTCACGCGTTTGTAATCCACTCTAATACATAGATCTGTGAATTTTAGTTATACCATAACATGATCTGCTGGACTTGGTATAATTGTTGAATAAGCAGTGTCTTTGTTAAATCAGAAAGTAACAAAGCTGCTTGCTTTTTTGTTTGTTTGTTAATATGTCAGAGGGAATGTTCCTCGTGCTGGGGAACAAGTGTGGAGCTGCCACACTGGTTATCTATCCATCAGTGGGTTTAAAACATTTTTTCTTATGTCTTAGGACAGCTGTTGGCTTGGCAAAGAAAGTGTCTTGTCTTGAACAAAGCACAAAATGTACTTGATGGGGAAAAAAAAAAGGTGAAAGTGAGAAAAATCATTGACAGTTGTCAGGGAGCTTTTTGTCTGAATGTACCAAAGAGTATTGGCTCAAATTATGTATAAATGGATTTAATTGGGAGAGACCTTCCATTAAAAATACACTTTATATCAGTTATAGGACAAATAATAAATAAAGCTGCATTTCTGCTGTCCTTGCAGTGTAGGCAGGTTGCATCTGGCTATGTGAGCAGTACAGAAATTTCAAGCAAATGTATGAAGAACTGTAGAAAAAAATTACTTATTGCCTGAGTGCTTAGAAAATAGAGTCTTTTTAGAAATAGCATTTATAGTTCAAAAGTTACAGTATTTATAATAGTCCAGATTCTTTTAGCAAATTCTGAAATTCAACTCCTCCTTCAATTACTATGTAATCTTAATTTCTTACTACACTTAAAAAGCCTTGAAGTCATGCATATGTGTACTTGACGTGCTTTAGGGAAGCATGGCTTTACTGATATTGCAAATACGTCTTTAGGTATTCAAAACTGCCACTCATTAGGGGTGGAGTTTTTTGTGGGGTTTTTTTTTTGGTGGTGGTGATGGGGGGTTTTTTTTGTGTTTTGGGTTTTTTTGAGAGGTACATACAAAGAGCATATCTTCTGTTCACAGATGGGGACAGAAAAGTTAATTGTCCTAGCAAAGTGTTGAGGGTGTTGGAGTAAAGCCTGGTATTCCTGTGCCATATATGTTTTGCTTTGGCATCTGGCTGCCTAGGCTATCCTGCCAGAGTGAACTGTGAAATGTGTGGCCGTTGCAAGTTTTACAGCTAGTCATATATTTCAGGAGTTTGTGTGTGAGTTAAGTGCAGAAAACCCTTACAAAATAATATATGATGTCTGGAGGGAGAGCATGGGTATGTTTTGTTTTAATGAGATGTACATTATACCTATCCCAGCCTCTCGATCACTTTATGAGCATGATGAGCCTCAGTCATTTGAGCTGAGTGCTGATCCTGAGCTGTTTCTGGATGTGGGAGGTAATTCCACTGGTGGCTTTAATTTTCTGCTAGTTTCCTCCTGACTTGCTCTTTACAGAATCACAGAGTAGCTGAGGTCAGGAGGAACACCATCCGGTCCAACCCCTGGCTATAGCGGGGTCATCCAGAGCCAGTTGCCCACGGCTATATCCAGTTGGGTTTTGAGTATCTCCACAGATGGAGACTCTCCAACGTCCCTGGGAAACCAGGGCCAGTGTTTAAACACCCTCACAGTGTTTAAAAAAACAAAAAAACCAAAAAAAAACCAAAAAAAGTGTTTTATTTCAATTTTTTTTTCTTTTTCTCATATTCAGATGGAATTTCATGTGTTTCAATTTTTTCCCAGTACTTCTTGCCCTGTTGGTAGGCACAGCTGAGATGAGCCTGGCTCCATCTTCATTCCCTCCCACCAGGTGCTCATGCACACGCTGATGAGACTCCCCTGCCTCAAACAGGACAAAACTCACCTGTAGAACAAGAATATCTTGTTTAAAAAGAAAGGCATGACACTGTGAAGGCCGTGACTTTCAGATGTGGTAAAAGCGGGTGGTGTGGAGGTTACTTTGCAAACTTAACATTGCTGGCGAAAAGTCATTCTGTAATTACAAATGGCTGGAGGAATAGTTGGGAAATAAGGCAGCAGAGTGTGTTCAGTTACCCGGTACGTGCGTGCTAGATCCTGGCTTGCTTACAAGAACTGTGTTCTTTATTAAATTTTACAGCGTTGGTAAGTGTGATCCCTAAGGCGAGTGGGTCAGGATTTTCTGTGCCAGAAGAGGGAAGCGCTCCAGAGAATTCCCTGGCAGCAGTTCTCTGCTAATACACACGTGAGGCCGATGGGGGTGCGCAGGCACTGAAATCGTTATCTTCACTGGCACGGCCCAGTGTCTCCAGGAGGCTGGGGTTGTAGTTGAGGTCTAAAAAAGTGTGTGGATCTAGTGTAAAACACGATTGGTTTTGTGTGATGTCTACTATTTGAGGATTTGAAATGCGTTTGTCTTACGATCGTACATCCTGTGGAACAGTTGTCTGCGACACAGGAATTTAAATGTTAGATTTCACTGCACTGGGATGTGTTTCAGTCTCCTGAAACTGTGAAATTTGTGGTGGTTCTTGTTGCCTTTGGATTAATTATTAATTATTTGAGTTGAGTTTATAGTAAATATGATCTGGTCAAGCATATTTTTCCTTATCATTTAACCACTTCCAGTAATGGCACATAAAGCAGTGGAACATACCTTGAAATAATGGAGACTGCTGTCTGCGTTAAACCCTGAATAGTTTATAGATATTTTTTTTTTTTTTTTAATAACAGCTTAAGCCCAATATGAATTAAGTTCTTAATTAAAAAAAATATATTAGTGTTTTATTATTACATTGACTTCAGAAAAATAATATGTGGCTGTGTTACTGTTTGCTTAATCTGTGAATGGGAAAATACTCTCTGCAGAGAAAATTATGTCTCTATAATATGTAGAATACCTTGCAAATTTGCACTTTATCTGAGATTTAGCAGTTCTTTCATTTCTTTTTTCACTTAATATAATTTAATATTTGTTGAATGTTGTACGGTTTTAAAATCTTCTGTAAGTATAACCAATTTTCCTACCTTAGCAACTACTTTCAGTACATATCATAGGTATGGCCTTTATAAAATCATGGGTTCAAGTAAAGAAGGTTCTGACCGTACTTTATAAAACGATTATTTCATTCCTTAAATAGGGCATTTATCAAATGCGTCTGTTGCATGCATTCATTTGTTACACTGTTCCCTCCCCCTCCCCCCCCAAAAAGGCTGGACTAGTCTCTGGACTTCACAATTTCAGAACAAGAGAAACGAAGTTACGTGATAACTGGTTTTAGCCTTGTATTTGAATTTTTTTTTTCCTTGGGATTTTTTAGGCGTAGTGTCTGACTAATAAGATGGATCTTTTGATTATATGGAGAGAGTATCTCGCTGTTTTTCAGTTCTTTTGGACGTTTCACCTGGAAGGACTGATGAGTTTCCAGTAGACCTTTTAGGGAGTTGAGTGCCAGCTTACTGTATGGGTTTTCAATTACTATTCTGATTTTGACCAAATTAAATGTCATGCCAGTGTTGTTTTAGGCTTAGTGGCCTCATTAAACTGTAACCTAACTTTTAAACTATTTTTATTCTCATTTTGCAAAGGTCATTATGTTTAAAAGGATATTCTTCCAAGTTTCACTTCTTTCAAGCTTTCAGGCACAATCGTATCACCATCAATAATTTCATAGAAATTTCTCTTGGTTTCTGGTGTATAAAGTTAAAGTGTAGTTTTTAATATGTTGGCAGTGGCTTGCTGTTGAATCGAGCCATGGATTTCGTTAGTTTTAGCCTTGCTTAGCAAAATAAATTGATGTTTATAAAATTCTTTTCTTCCAGGATTGGTGAAATGATTTTTTTCTTTTTTAAATTGATCATGAAACTGCATTTCATACTGTAAATTCAGAATAGGCACGATACATGAGTTCTGCTGATTTTGAGGATAATTAAATCTGTTCAAAGTACTTCTGTGAATCACCTTCTTGATTAATCATCCCATTGCTTGCTGACAGCAAGCACATTGAAGAGGTAGGAGGTTATTTGCAGACTAGACCAGGATTACTTTTCTGCCTGTGTATTTTTCATTCTTTATGTGTGAGGTTGGAAGTCGTCTATCTTTCCAAACCATGTGGGCTAAGTCTTGATTTTTACTTTTGTTGCCAAGCCTTTCATGAATTCAACTGTGAATGTGGGTTGTTTGCTTAAAATCAGGTGGGCTGCACCTTCCTTATTTGGTTGTGGATAAACAAATGCGGATAGAAGCAAGATTTTATTTCCTGGTAAGCTAATTTGGGTGATAGCTCATCCTCCCTTTTTAAGCCAATGTTTCCTTTTGTCTTCTGGCTCTAGGTTAAGATTTAAAGGATTAAGAGATAATTAAGCTGCTTTTCTTCACTTGTGAGCTGCTGCTGCTAGGGCCTTCACCTTCTCCATCAGCTAAAAGATTTTCTTTCTACAGGGTCAGGAGAGCAGAGAATCAGTGCATGTAGAATGGTGTATTTAAGACTAATGGCAAATTCCTGTGGTTTTTCTGCTTTTTGGTGCTTCTTAGACAGCTGCATTGTAATGTGCGTAGGTCACTGCCGAAATACACACAGATGAAGCTAGTGTGGGATACCAAGGCTATGCAGAGTAAGTGGTGTATTTTTAGGTGAAGCATGTGATTGTGGTGTTCTGGGGTCTGCATGAGCTACCTCTCTGTCTCTGGGAGGAGAGGTATAGCAAGTCCCAGATTTGTTAGTGTCAAGTGACTTGGGATCTGCTGATATGAAGAATCACCAGTTTCTTTTACCATATCATGAAATTGTGCAGGACGAATTTAGAATTCTTTTTTTGTAAAAAGAAAATTATTGCAGGCAGGACATATTCCCGAGAGAAGACCTACTACCTTGCTTGTTCTGCCCGCACTCTGCTTCAGAAGATATGACAAATTCCCCCTTTTCTCAGTTTGATAAAACTGGCACCTAAACATTTGATTGAGCAGGATCAAGATATGTTACTAATAAGTAAATTTGATTTATGGCATCATCATAGATCCTGAACTTACATGTGATAAGGATATAGAGTTGTCTATTGGCTTTAGTATCTCAGGAGGATGGTTGTTGATGTTGAGTTTTTTAGTCAGTGTAATCCTAGATAGTCAGTGGCATTTCAGGGCATTGCTTTTTTCTTCTTCCCTCCCTTTCCCCTTGCCTATACGCTGACATTAATGCAGCTTTAAGTACAGAACAACTCCAAATAAAGAGGAGTAATACAAAGTGATAGTAGGGAAAAACAATTTGAATTGAAGAAGTGGTACTTCAATTTAGATGATGTCCTTTGGGTTACTCTTTCAGAAAGCTGAACCTGGACCTCATGCCGCAGCGATCAGAATACAAACTTGCAATTGTGTAGTTCTGATTTATTAAATTAATTGGAAGACTAGAAACTTCTGCAGTTTTTGTTCTTCCTGCTGTCCAGTCTCTCAAAGCTTGATCCAGTTCTCTAGAAGAAAGCAAACATGCCAGGCCAGAGTTGCACAAGAATGTTTATAAACTACATGCTACTAATATTTAAGCAAAATTTGAGCCAAGAGTTGAAAAGCAGGAATATTGCATTCACATGTGCTTACTTGCAAGAGGATGAACTGCAGAGCAGAGCTTGAGAGGACTTTATCCCAGCTTGGTGGTTATGATGTCTGAAGGACGATTCCATGTCCTCCAGCAGTTGTCTCTATCAGTAAAAAGCATTGAGACATTTTAGACATTTGTCTTGACTATTTAATATTCAAATCTAAGGCAGTTAGGGTAGTCTTCACTTTATTAGACTGTTAGCTAGAGCCTAATTCTGCGAATTTGTCAGTATGGGTTGTCACTTAGAAACAAATGATGACGATGTCATTTATATCCAAGGGGAGAAAAAAAGTCTGTCAGCATTTCTCTCCAGTGCTGCTCCTTAATTTGCTCCCACACAGGACTTGCTTTCTGAAGTTTTTTATGTTCTTAATCTCTAAAGTAGTTTAGCTGACCTGGGTACCTTTTTCTAAGATGCCTTTAGACATCATTTTGGTTTTTCATTAATCCTTTGAAAGTTTGAATCTGTTTTATTAACATCTGTAGTAGCATCACTAAACAGGGAAATTACTACTTGTTTACAGACTTAATTATCCTGTGTGCCTTGACAATGTTGTTAAATAATTCTGTTTTGAAAAAAGTTAAAACTCAGTTTTGATGTTTTTGATAAATACGGGCTTACTAGTTTGGTTTTTTGATGCAAGTTTTTAAGCCTTCCTATTCTATGTTTTCTTGAGTATACTCATAATGATGTATTAGGTTTTGTAACACCAACTAGCGTTCGTGTGCTGAAGTCCTGTAATGGCTTGGCAATATTTTTGTTGAACTACAAGAATTAATTACATACAATTTACTCCACGGATTTTGCTTCCAGATGAGCTGGAGAAGATGTAAGGCCGCCTGTAGTGTTTGTTACCAGACAGTGGCAAGAACATGAAATAGACTCAGTGTTTACATCCTCAGTATTTATGAGTGTATACATCATATGCTAATGGCTTAGGGCAAAATAATCCTGAATTTAATGTTTTTTTTAATTTTGGTTTTGACTTTTTTAACATGGGTCATGTATTTCTTAACATATGCAAATAATGCTTGCTGGTACAAGGTAGAAATGGACACTAACTTTGCCTTTTCTTCATGGCAATTTAATTGGTACCCAAACTCTGGCTTTTGGAGGGGTGTGTGTTTGGTTGCTTTTTTATTATTATTATTATTATTATTTGTATTTTTTACTAATCTAATGACAATTATATTGGTAACTCCTTTTTTTGGAATTGCAGAGTGAATGAAGCTGACAGGAAAACTTTTTGGTGATCTGTTGCTTCAGTCGGGAACGTTAAAAATGGTTTTAAAAATGCATAAAAGTTTGCAAAATACTGAGGTCTTAAAAAAGATACATGAACCTAAAACGGTCACTTTAAATGAGAATGGCAAGAAGGAATTTTCTCCACATCTTACATTCAGGACATTTGTCCAAAATTTTTTTTTGCTTTTCTCATAGTCATTGAGGACACAGTAGTTCATCAGCTCTGAAGGAAATGAAAAAGAAACGTGCCCCATTTCAGTACAGTGCATGCCGCCGCCATCCTGGCAACACGCAGTTATTTGGATGTTTCCTGCGAAATGTATTCCCATCACAACAGCTTTATAGACAACATGTACACTTCTCAGTAGCTTTTAGAGCAGTTAGGTGTGTGCCATGTTTCATCCAACCATGACTTCCTCATCCTTGGCTGACCAGTGAAGAGCCCTGTTTAACACAAGTTGAACGTTGTTACTCTTTGTTCACTGGTTCAGCTGTGAAGTCGTGTTTGGACTAAAAGATATGATATTAAATTTATTTTGTGGTAGTGTTTATGTTCCATCAGGCAAGCTCGTGTTCAGGTAGGTGCTGTGGAAACCAGGCTGGGTTTAAAGGTGGTGAGCAGGTTAAAGGTGGTGCATGGCCAGTGGATGTGACAGGCAAGTGGGTGAGGAAGGAGATGTGGAGGATTGAGTTTTTCAGTTGTGATAGGGTTTGGTGTTTTTGATGTTGCAGGTTACTGTTTTCTGTTGTGGTTAATGAGATGTTGGAAGGCTTAAAAACATCAGCTAGTACTTTACCACTTGTGCAAGGAAATATGAGAAAACACATTAGGTTATCGGCAAACTTAGTGCACTGATTCAGCTGTTTAGCATATGAAAAATGACTTTTTTTTTTGGTCATTAGTCCTTTTCTAACTGTTTTCACGTGAAGTGAGCTTTGCGGGTAGCACCAGTCAGCAACCAGGTGGTTTTAAGAGAAGGCAAAAATTGGAGGGGGTTAAGATGAGAGGTGTTGGGCACTTCTGGTCATTTGCGGCTGTGAGGCGCTAAACTGTCGCCTTGACATCATACGCAGGCCCTACAGGTCACAGCTGAAGCGTACTGGAGTAGTCTCAGCAGGTTGTTCATCTGCCTCGTCTCTACCACATCTCATCTGAGTATGAAAACAAGACTTCAGTCTGACAACTTTCAAGAGGGCAGCTTTCAGAATTATTAAAATCATTCTTTAAGAGGAGATATATTTCCCTAATGTAGTTACAATTGGAAGATGTTACTGCAGCATCAGAAAAAGAAAACACATTCCTGTAATTAGAGCTCTTTGGATATTGATTTATTGGGAAGGTGTTAAAGAACTGTTTTGCAATGTGTAACTTGTGAAATATCTGATTGGTATTTCTTGTTTGCAGAACCAAACTGAAGAACCACGAGTATGAAACTTTAGATCAGTTGGAGGCTGATCTGAACTTGATGTTTGAAAATGCCAAGCGCTACAACGTTCCCAATTCTGCCATCTATAAAAGAGTACTGAAAATGCAGCAGGTTATGCAGGTATGTGGAGTGGAACAGTCAAAATGATATAATTTCATACGTGAATTTGTTTCCCTAACGAATGTTTTTCCAAAATAATTTTTAACGAGACCTGCATTTGCAGTAGTACTTTCTTGCTTAGGGGGAAGTCTGGGAATGAAGAACATCATAGGGTGATTTTTCTTCAGCACACCTGCTGCCTTCTGTGATTTCTTTTGGTCACTTTTATTGCTTACTATGCCTCTTAACCCAATTACGTTGTGAGAAAATTGATGATGTGGGTTTTGTTTTAAGGTTTGCAGGTAATTGGAGGATGCTAAAACACTTGAGATTTCATGAGGTGCTCCAGCTAAGTGCTGCAGTCTGCAAAGGCATTGTTTTCAAATTGATTCCTCAAAATTTTTTTCCGACAGTTAAAAAGAATTATACTTCTATTTTATGATGGCCAACTTGTGTTAAATAAATCACTGTATGGTGGTTTAGTCTCAAAACCTGTGGATGCATCTGAGCGGTTCTGATGTTTAATATTGCTCTGGAAGTGTGCAGCAGTGAGTTTGGCTTCAGGTTTTTCTTCTTTTTTCAGGCAAAGAAGAAGGAACTTGCTAGGAGAGATGATATTGAGGATGGGGACAGCATGATTTCTTCTGCTACATCTGATACTGGAAGCTCAAAAAGGAAAAGGTATGCATTTCTGTAGTTCCTGCAGACCATGACATTGCCACATCTTTTATTTGTTTAAAAGAATATTAAATCATGGGGTTTAGCATTTGTGTAATGATTTGTAGTTCTGAAACTAACCTCATAAAGTGTTCATTCTAATTAATTCAAAATTATTTGCTGACTTTGCTGACTTTATTTTCCTTTTTTGGCCTAGTAGTTGGCAGTTGTCGACATAACTTCAGTAAGTGGCATGGACACTGTAGTTGCACTGAATTAGGTAATTTTGTCAGTGGATTTCAGGATTTTTATTTGTGTTCTGTTTTTTTTCAGCCTGGTGTGGGGACTGTCTTCACGGGTTGTTAGCAGTTATTGCTTCTTTTCCACTACGTCTCCAATATGTGACTATTTATGTAGTTTGGGTAGCAATTTCAGAATATAATTAAAGTCAACACTATAGTTGAATGAATTTTTTGGAAGTTTACAGTATTACTCTACAAATATTTATGCCAGGAGACTTCGCCAAATAAAAATATTTTCATTTTCCATGACCTGAACTCTGCTTGAGTAGTTTTCATCATTAATGTTAGAAGACTGCTTCTCTCTCCCTTCTGAATTTGCACTCTTTGGTTACTTATCTGTCAGCTGCTGGACCAGAAGGTTTTTGAGAAATAGGTAAACTTAGTATGACAGTTTGTTTACGTTACAGTATCCAGAATAATCAAAATTCACAATGATTTAAAATACACTCTTTTAGTGAGCAATAATGATGGTTTATGGAAAGTATCCTGTAACAGTGATAGCTGTTGTGTAATTAATATTAGTGATGCATTTCACTACATGAGCGATAGTTTCTCTAGTCTGCTTGTGGTATTTCAAGTAAGTTACAACTTCTGACAATATTATTGCAATAGTAGCAACTGCCAGTGTCGAACTGTAATTCAGCATCTTTCTTTGGTGTTGCTTATTACCTTCAGCTTCCTGTATTTTATTCCTTTGTTTTGTCAAAGTGATAGCAATTGAGGGGGGAACGGGAGGAAGGGAATGAAATAGAGCAACAGCAAAGAGTCACTTAAGAACAATCAAGCGCAACAGTGTACAGTCATAAAAAAATCTCCAGAGAGAAAATGTTAACATGGATTTAGGAGGTGGTGCTAGGGGCGCTAGGAAGAAGAACAGTAGTGGAATGGTAAGACAGACCACAGTACCAAATGAACATCAGGAAGGAGCAAATTGCAAAAATTGCTAGTTTTATGATCTTCAGATTCAAAGAGAACTACTAACCCAATCAAGCAAGTCAAACTGTCATCAGTGTCCCTTTAACCCTATGTTGCTTTTGATCACCTTGTGCAAGAGAATACTGAAACACTTAAAAGAAAAAAAATCTGTCGGGCCTTGTCATCCAAGAACAGTAAAAGAGAGAAAGTTGTGTTTGTAGGTAAGGGAAGTCAAAATGATTTTATTTTCTTCATGCCTGAAGAGAACCTGAAAATGCTTTTGATGTTGTCAGTTCAGTAGTTGTTACCAGTTTCACTTGCTGAATGACAGGAAGTGAAAGAAGATTGTCAGTGCTTCTGGTAGCAGAAGTGAAGCACTGAGAGAAATTCCAAAATGTTGCTGAAAAAGAAAACTAATAACCTAGGCAAAATTTATCCCATTGGGAAAATAATAGTGACGCAGAAGAAAGTTGTTTGAATGTCCCCTTTTATGTATGGGATGCGTGACCTGAATCTTGAGTATTGGCAGGCCTTTTACTATTTCTGCTTTGGTTTTGCTTTACCTGCTTTCTTTTTTCACTGAACTAAACATTAAAACTTGGAAACATGTTAAACTGTGGAATTTGGAAGCATGCCTCTGTTCTAGCATTGCTCATCTGCTAGTGTGAACAACTAACTAACAGTTTCCAGATAATGCAGAAAAAGGTTTTAACCTATAGAAGATACAGTTTGAATTTTCTTATGTGTGGTGACATTAATTTTCATTAGTTATTTTGTTGACCTCACCAAGGAGCAAGAGGTATCTGAGGCATGAGGCTATGCTGCGTAAGGTATATTTTAAATGTAGGAGAAAAAGATCCAGATAGTGGAAAGTCTTTGATGCAGTTTGGTCTCTAGCGAGTTGTACAGTGCTGTTTTGCACATTCTGCAAATGAAGATAGTTTTTGTTGTTGTCGTTGCAGATAACATAGTCAAAGTTATAACTACCAGAATAAGTCTTACAGAGATTGCAATTGGAAGTTGGTTTAAAAGTGCTTTGTGGAGAGTGCATTTCTAAGAGTGCCACGGTATCTGAGCTGAGATTATATGTTATGAACATAAGCTTTGCTCTCCCATATCTGTTTTGCTTATAGATGATGTAGTATGTGTACAGGGAGCCGTGCATAGCTGTTTTCATGATAAGATGTGTCTTGGTTGTGCTGTCAGATTTCTTGAGACAAGCATAACAGCTACACATAGGACTCCAAAGTTTGTGGCCATTTTCTACCAGGGTTTGCAGTTTTGGTGAAATTCATTGACTTTTGTAACTTCATCTGACTGTGGGTGACAGACATTTAAGCAACTCAGACCCTTCTTTCTACGACATTCTTGATATCCTAATTTTTCTTGTATCTCGTACTGAAGAAGATACAGAATCTCTGAGATAAATAGCTCAAAACTTTGATACTCTGTGTTCAGCAGAGGTAGTCATGAAGATACTGACTGAGGGTTTTTTCCCCTGTTTGCACTAGAACTTGAGATCTTGGATTCAGACTTGATCAGTTGTGACTGATGCGTTCTCTCTGGCGCTGGAAAACGCTTAGGGCTCCTTTTAACCTTTGCACTTTTTAAAACTAGTTATTTGTTTTATTTGGTAGAACACTGAAGCTAGAGATGAATGAGGCAAAAATCATATCTTAAAGTTGTTTCCTGTTTATGTGGCAGACTGTTGGTTATGATGCTGTCATTATTTGCAAATGGACCTATGTTTCTAGTATACTGTCTTAATGTTGAACTTCTCGTGTGTGTGTTTTAGGCAGTTGTGGTTGTTTTCTCATGGTAGAGGATAATGTCATTTTGATACTAGTGTTGAAAGTGGGGAAAAGAGCCCCTGACATTTATTCTTTTCCTTTTTGTTCTTCTCCTTAACCTGATAGTAAAAAGAATATACGAAAGCAACGAATGAAGATCTTATACAACGCAGTTCTGGAAGCTCGAGAACCAGGCACAGGCAGACGGCTATGTGATCTGTTTATGGTTAAGCCATCCAAAAAGGACTATCCAGACTATTATAAAATTATCTTGGAGCCAATGGACTTGAAAATGATAGAACACAACATCCGGAATGATAAGTACATAGGGGAAGAAGCCATGATTGAAGACATGAAGCTCATGTTCCGAAATGCAAGGCATTATAATGAGGAAGGCTCCCAGGTACTGTTTTGATTCTACAGTCACATTTACCTCTCTGCTTCTTTGCAGACGTACAAGTTATGTTAGGATGGTTTAGTTTGGACTATTACTCTCATTATTTATGGTAATTGTTTGCTGAACTAAAATAGAAATATGACTTTTTCTTTCTGCTGAAGTTCTAAATTCTGTCTTTGTAGTTGTATAAACGTGAAATGCAACACGCTCCTTTGCAAAAGTTAGACTTATTTCCTGTTAGCTGAACTTGTTGCTTCACTAAAAGAACATCAGCTGAATGTTTCCTACTATGTTTTAAAAAAATAAGCTGGTTACTAAATTCTCATTATTCATCCTCAGTTAATCATGTGAAGGTGTTTGCCTGTGGTCATCAGCATGTGATTTGGAGCTCACCACCTCTGAGTGTCATAGTTGGAAAGAAACCAGCTTTGTTTTCATGGAAGTGGAGAGTATGGGATATCAGACTAAAAGACCCGACTTGTTTAGCCTGGCAAAAGGAGTCTGAAAGGAATATGCTTTTCGCTTACAAATATATTGTAGGGTGTTTCTATATTGTGATGTTTCTCAGCCAGAAAGCATGATGATGTGAAACAGAGTGGTGATAAGAACCTCCAGCTCCTTCTAATGAGGAACTTGATCAGCTACTGTACAGGACTTTATGATGAGGCTGCATTCACCAGGGTTGGATTTGAAGATCCAGGAGTTCTGTTCTAGTCCTGTCTACCTTGATGGAATCACAATAGTTCAAGAGATCTTTCATTGTTCAGCAGAATGAATTGATGAGGAAGTGGATAAGACAGCTGCACCGTGCCGTTTCCTAGTCTTTGGAATAGAAATGCAGCTTAATTGAATAATTTAATCAAGATTTATATCTCCCTGATGTAGATGGTGTTCATCCGTTCTGCTTACCTGTATAAGTCTGTTGAAGTTGTACATTTGAGAAATAAGCCCTTCTTTTTAGCAAGTATTTGGTTTTGCATTCAGCTTTTTCAAACTTAACATTTAAATGTTTCTTGGGGGCTAGTTCTAAACTAATCTAAACACAGTAAACCTTGTTTTGTTTTGTTTTTTGATTACTTTACCGATTAATAGGTATACAATGATGCCCATATGCTGGAAAAGATCCTTAAAGAAAAAAGGAAAGAACTGGGGCCCCTAGCTGAAGATGATGATGTTGCGTCCCCTAAACTAAAGCTAAGTAAGGCAGCCTCATACATTGCTATGCCTCATTTCAACATTTATGAAAACCCAACAATAGACATTAACAGATCTTTCTTTTAGAATAGAAGACGTGATCTGCAAATTCACACTGACATGCAAAGTAGAATTTTCAGAATCATGACAGCAGTGATGTTTGTATGTGCATATAATAAAATCTAGTTGTTGCATATCGCGTTTTCTAAGAAAAGTAGCTTTGAATGAAGAAAGAAAACTTAAGAATGGTTAGAATTTCTGGCCTGTAGTCACGTGGTATTATCCAGATGTTAGGTGCTGCATTACAGGCTCAGTAACACTTCATTAACAGACTTAATGTGTGCTACTGGGATTGCTTACAAGAAAGGTGCTTCTCAGACTGTGTAAAGCTCTTAATCTGGGATTTCCACAGAATGATAAAAGAAATGTGAGCTTTATTTGGAAAATTATAAAAGGTCATGGAAAACACAGAAGTGAAATTTCCAGCAACGTCTGTTCCTAGAGCTGTTGCCCTTACAGACTTGATTTGCTACTGCTCAAACCTTATGTTGCCCTAGTATGTGTTCAGAACTTAGCAAACTGAGAAGGATAACATTGCACAGAAAGGCTTAAAGTAACTGCACACAGCCCTCTCGAAAATCGAAATGTGCAGCTCTTGGGTAAGGTACAGGTAGTAGAGAACTCACAGGTAGAGTCTATGCAGTACAGTAACAGAGATCCTGAATTAACCAAGAAGCTAATCTGATTGATAATCCCATGGGAGGATTTATTTTACATTTTACCTGTAATAATCCTCTCTAATTTGGCATAAACTTGTCATCAAGGAACCTGATAATATTTAGAATGCTTAATTTTAGTGACATTTTTAACGGCTCTAGAGAGAAATTCACGTAGAGCTAGTAAGACCAAATTGAATTTAGAGGCGTTACTAATAACATTAGGTAGGACAAGATGTTTTCTATGCCTAATTCTGAAGAGACCTTCGCGAGGTGGACCACATAGAAACATATGATTCTGTGTTTGCCAAAAATAATGTTTAAAAAAATTTTCATACAATTATGAAAAATAAAAGAAGCTGCAACTTAGAATGAGCTCCATGTTGTGAATCTTCTGCTCATACCATAAAGTGGTTCTTTACTAAGCAATTCTGCAATGGAAAGGAGATGGATAAAGAAGTGTGCAAGCTCTGTTTTTTTAAGGATTTTTTCTTTTCTTTTTTTTTCCTTTTTATCTGCTTAGGTAGAAAAAGTGGCATTTCTCCTAAAAAATCAAAATACATGACTCCAATGCAACAGAAATTGAATGAGGTGTATGAAGCAGTTAAGAATTACACTGATAAACGAGGCAGGCGACTGAGCGCCATCTTCTTGAGGCTGCCATCTCGGTCTGAACTTCCTGACTATTATGTGACCATCAAAAAGCCTGTTGACATGGAAAAGATCAGAAGTCATATGATGGCAAATAAATACCAGGATATTGATTCCATGGTAGAAGACTTTGTAATGATGTTCAATAACGCTTGCACATATAACGAGCCAGAATCTTTGATTTATAAAGATGCCCTGGTCCTGCATAAAGTTTTGCTTGAAACTCGGAGAGAGATAGAAGGAGATGAGGATTCTCATGTGCCCAATGTCACTTTGCTGATTCAGGAACTTATCCATAACCTTTTTGTATCTGTTATGAGCCACCAGGATGATGAGGGCAGGTGCTACAGCGACTCCTTAGCTGAGATTCCAGCTGTTGATCCCAACTTCCCAAATAAACCTCCTCTGACTTTTGATATTATCCGAAAAAATGTTGAAAATAATCGCTATAGAAGATTGGACTTGTTCCAGGAGAATATGTTTGAGGTACTGGAGAGAGCGAGGAGAATGAACAGGTGAGTGAAACCATATTTTTCAGGTATCATTTGTCTTATCACATGAGTTTTGCATCTTAATTTCAGACAAAGGCTGAAGTTTTTTTAAGGTGTTTGCTTTCCTTGATATGGGTCTTTAGAAAACTAAACCTAAAAAACTGTCAGGTCTTCAGTGGAATGTATGCTTTCATTTATAAACAAGGAGATAATTTTGATGTTAGTCCTCCAAAGGCACGCCTCATGAAAACCAGGTTTGTGCTAACTTTCAAATTGAAAAAACAAAGAGGAGGAGCTGTTCGTTAACTGCTTGACTGGTGGATTACTCTTGTGGAGCAATCACGGTTGTATAAGTCATGGTAATATTGTGCAAAAACTATGAACACTTGCAACTTCTTTCAGTGTTCTGCTTGAATTAGGTAGAGTACTTGGGGATGTACAAGTGAGATCTTGACTCTGAAGGAGAGGAGGTAAAAAATGTTATTAAAACATCATCTAACAGGAGTATGGGTAGTTCAAATAAGGCAGTTTTGTTGGTAAAAATGTTATTAAGTTTTCAGAAGTTAACAGATTGTAGAGGTCCAGTGGCAAGTAGTTTTGGTCGCAACTAGTTACCTTTGATTTTTCTGGTATTTCAGGACTATTGTATACAAAAATACTCTTTTAGGTAAGTTATAATACAAACTGACAGCAGAATAGCAGGTGGAGCATGACTTGCCAGTGTCTGTTGCTGCTTGTTATGAGTAAGCACAGAAATCTGTTGGTAGAGTGAAGCTTTAGTTTTATCACAAAGTGTGGTGATTGATGGCTATGTGTTTAGGATCCTGTTTGACTCTGCACAAACTATGTTTCTACCCTATTGTATGTATTTTTGTACAGGACTGATTCAGAGATTTACGAGGATGCGGTCGAACTTCAGCAGTTCTTTATTAAAATTCGAGATGAACTTTGTAAGAATGGAGAGATTCTTCTGTCACCTGCTCTCAGCTATACCACCAAGCATCTTCACAACGATGTAGAAAAGGAAAAGAAGGAAAAGCTGCCCAAAGAAATAGAGGAGGATAAGCTCAAAAGAGAGGAAGAGAAGAGAGGTAGCTACTTGCTTTTCATTCCTTTTAAATGTAATAATTGAAGAAAATGTACCTGTGCATATGATGTAGGCTCTGCTGTTGCTGCAGCGTCACCTGCTGAAGGGACCTTAATAATCTGGCTGCCCACCAGAAAGCTGAGAGATTATTTTTTTTTTTAATCTTTATCAACCATGCTAGATAGCTTTAAGAAAGAGATGTAGGTACTTACTAACCCTGTGTAAACTCTTTAATCAGAACATATTGGGGTACCATTAGTCTTATTTCAAGGCTATTATAAAAGAAAACAGTATTTTTTTTACTGTAGCATTCTGCTGATAATAAACTTAGCAGTGGCTGTTCCAATTGACCTTTTAGTCATTTCCTTTTTGACAAATACTGGTTTCTTGATGTGCTGATGGTGTTGTCTATGATCAGGCTTTTAACACTGAAATGGTATTTAAGTAAGCCGTTTGTGTTTCTTACTTGGCTACTGTGAATGTGAAGAAGAATGGGCTTGCACTATTTTCTAGGGCAAGAAACCTACTGAGAAGGTCCTTTGTGTTTCACAGTTCCTGGCTGTTGCTCTCCATATAATTGTTGTGAAGCATGTCGAGGGGAATGAATAAAGCTTTTGAATTGCTCCTTTCCACAGATGGGAGCAGAGCTATTAGCTTTTTGTCCTTGAATTGTTCTTCTTCTAACATGGTTCATCTTCCCACATATCACTAATGTCAGGAGCAGTGAAGTCTGGTTGCTCCAACCAGGTTCAGGATTATAAGGTATCACAGCTGTGATGTCCTTTTTCGGTCTTCCTTTGAGAACTGGCCTTCTGAAGGCTTCTGAGCTCAGTGCTGTCATTCAGTTCCTCTTCACTCTGGGAGGGCTCAATAAAATTCAACTGAGGAAAGAAAACCCAACCTTTAACAGCACCAGTAGCACCGGTAGCAGAAGGGCTAGCAGCACAAAGCATGCTTAAACCCTTCCTTCATGCTGGATGTCAGTGACAGGGACGCATCGGGTATCATGTGGCACTTTGCACTCAGCAAAGGATGAAGGCATTCATGTCAGCAATCGACTAATGTGGAAATGTTGCATTACTAACATCTATTTTTCCCTTCCTGAAATAAGAAGCTGAAAAGAGTGAAGATTCGTCTGGATCAGCTGGGCTGTCAAGCTTGCATCGGACCTACAGCCAGGATTGCAGCTTCAAGAACAGCATGTACCATGTAGGAGACTACGTGTATGTGGAGCCTGCTGAAGCCAACTTGCAACCTCACATCGTCTGTATTGAGAGGCTGTGGGAAGATTCAGCTGGTAAGGGTGTCTTTGCTATAGGAAAACGATGTGGTGAAACTTGGTTTTATTACTATTTAAAACTTCCAATTTGAGCTTTTTCTGTGTAGGTGTCATTTATTTTATTTGCAGAAATGTGTGTGGACTGTGAGTATCTTCCCTGTTTCTGAGTTGCTTTGTTCCAAATAATACTGCAAATACAATGTTCTTGGATCAGCACACCTTTTTTTGTTGTTCATCTCTACCTACCCTCAAATTGTAAGCATCCCAGAGAACAGGCTCTTCCAAGTGGGATGGGCTCCTTGTAATTTAGGCGCAGAAGAACACATGGGGTTTTTCTGTGCTGAGAAATCTGAACCAAAGTTTGAGCACACTTAACTGCAAATGTTCCATAGAACAACTCAGTTTCAGAACTTGAATTTGTTAAATTTCAGAATTGAGCTGAATCTTGCATTTCCTAGGCCAAATCAAGCCATAACAAGTACTGTTTTGTTTTTCCTCATCAGTGATGCCTTCTGTTTGCAGCAGGTACTTCTCTTAAGTGTAAGTAATGCTAGAGATATGGCAAGAGTATCAGATAAGCATGGTGCACTCTCAGCAATCCTGGAAAGTACAGTTGCTGAGTACCACAGTGGGCTATAGTTGAGTTAAGCATTTTGGTTGCACTTTTTTTTTAAAGGGATAGTGTGTTACAAGGACAGATTAAAAAGGCTGTAACTTTTAAATTTGGAGAGGAGAAATGTAAGGCATGTTATAATTAAGGTTTGCAAAATCATGAAGTTGGTAAAGAAGATGAAGGCAGAAATATTGTTTAACAAATTCAGCAGTACTAGAGTTCAAGGGCACTCATTGACACTAAAAAAACCACATTAAAACCCGTGAAAGTGTTTGGCTTTTCAAAACAGTGGTTGGTGAGCCTTCTGGCTTCCCCAGGAGCTTGTGGAGGCAGATTATGTCAGCAAGCTTAAAAACGGGTCAGACAAGTCCATGTACAACAGGTCTAAACCAAATGATAAAGGGAATAACTAGCAAATAATTGTCGGATAAAGAGAATAGCTCTCTAACACTCCTAATGCAGAAGGAGTGGAATGAGTTACGGCCAAGGTCAAATGTGTTCTCCTAATAGCCCATCCTGCTCACTCAGTTGGATGCAGTGTATTTGGGTAGATGGACAGTTGGTCAGTTGGATGTTTCGTATGTTTATTTGTCTGTGATGGAGAAAGCGAATGGCACTTTTTATTCTGGTTTCGTCTACAGATTGCAGATTTTCATTGATTTAGAAAAATAGTACATATTTGTCACAACCTCCAGAGAGGCTGTGGAATCTCCTTCTCTGGAGATAGTAAAAACACACCTGGATGCATTCCTGTCCAGCTTGCCGTAGGTGAACCTGCTTTGGCAGGGGGGTTGGACTAGGTGATTTATTTTGCTGAGTCAGGTTTTACTGGGGAAAAAACAATTGGCAGGCTTTTTAAGCAACCTAAGCAACAGTTAAGGAATCTTATAGAATAGAATCATAGAATCATCTAGGTTGGAAGTGACTTTTAAGATTATAGAGTCTTGTCCTGGTTTAGAACAGTTTATTGTCAGTATAAATGACTACACGCGTATTTGATTAATCAATCAATCTATAGTTGTTTTTTCTTGCTCATGCACTAGAGAATATCCTGTTTTACATCTTTATCTATTTCTTTCTCCCTTTTTTGTTTCTTTTTTTTAAAGGAGAGAAGTGGCTCTACGGGTGTTGGTTTTATCGACCAAATGAAACGTTTCATCTTGCAACACGAAAATTCTTGGAGAAAGAAGTTTTTAAAAGTGACTATTACAATAAAGTTCCTGTTAGCAAAATTTTAGGCAAATGTGTGGTCATGTTTGTCAAGGTGAGAGACTATTCAGACTAGTTTGTTAAGCAAATAATATGTTCTCTGCTATTTTCTTGAAGAGCTGTAGGTGTTCTAACATAGAGACATTCTACTAATACTTAAATAAAATAGGACTTGCTCCTGTGTACTGTTTGTATTCTTCATTTGCTTCATGAGATATGTCGTTCATCCAAATGGTGATGTTTCCCGGTGCCAGTTGGTTTGTAGAATCATATGCTTATTACATAATTAGCGAACTGATTTTTTTAGAGCATGTAGTAGAGAAATTGCAGGTAATTTCTTAGATGTTCCCTAAAAAGGATGTAGATTTAGGTTTGGTACAGAGAGAGACTTGAATGGCTTGGTAAGAGGATGAAGTCTTTCATCTATATTTCAACTTTGATTCCACATCATCCTTGCGCTGAGGATTTTTGGCTCGTTTGCAACATACCTATCTCAGCCACTTTTTTGAAGGTGGTGTGTTTGTATGGAACGAAGTGCTACAGCTGCTGAGTACATGAATGGGTATCACAGTCCCATATCAATGAGCATGGAGCTTACTCCCCCCGCCCCCAAACTTTGTGGTTGTGTTTTCTTTCCAAGTCAAAGCTCAGAAGTCTTGTAAAGGTGGTTTTAGACTGCAGATCTTGGACTTGTTAATGCACCGGTTTGGTAAATGAATAAAACCAAACTTTTCTTACATGGTAACCTGTACTGAATTGAGCTTCTTCTCTAAGAGTGGGATTTCTTGTTTGCTTTTAATTTTTAGTAAAATTGGGATGTCAGACTGGAAGAAAAGAACTCAGCAGAAGGGCTTTATTAGTCTAAAAGTGTTTCTGATAGAAACGTAGGAAAATAAAAAAGGAAGCATGAGGGGAAGTTCACTATGTGTCTGTGGGGGTTGTGTCTGTGTTGGTGAAAGATTTCATATTTTTTCTTCAATCTGCAGGAGTATTTTAAATTGTGTCCCGAGAACTTCAGAGATGAGGATGTCTATGTCTGTGAGTCACGTTATTCTGCAAAGACTAAATCTTTTAAGAAGATTAAACTGTGGACTATGCCTGTAAGCTCTGTAAGATTTGTCCCACGAGATGTGCCCCTGCCTGTGGTCCGTGTTGCTTCTGTGTTTGCTAATGCAGACAAAGTGGATGAGGAGAAACACGCTGAAACATTGGAGGACAGTAAGGTGGGAGAAGGTATCCTTCATCTTGAAAAGGTATGTAAGATAACAAGGGGAACATCAATTTTGTTTCACAGATAAAGAATGACAAATTGTGAGCCATCACAACTGGGTTTCACAGCATCCAGACACAATAAAATATAAATACATATGATGTTTCTGTTATAAATTGTTCTACAAGCTTGTAAATAAATACAAACAAAATTTAAATAGACTAAACAGAAAATAAACTGTGTACATATTTGCTGGGTTCTACAAATGTTTTCTTGTGATCATGTGAAGGGGTTGGCTTGTTTGGGTTTTTTTTTTTACCACTTTTGAAAAGAAAATTACACTTTAAAGCTTGCCTTAAGCTTAAAGAATCAGTAGAACTAAAAGTCTGATTTTAGTTCATGGCAGTGCTGAAATGCTTTATTATGTAGTATTTCACTAAAATAGTCAGTAGCTAGGCAGCAGTATGGGATACATAATATTCTGCTGTTTGTGTTTATGGTTGATAACTGAGCCTGTTATTGTTGAAATACTTAAGAATATTTCTGTCCAACATACTGGGTAAAATGTTTTATTTTATTGTAGAGTCACAAAAGAAAGAAATTTAAATAAATGTATTAAATTCCATTAAATTAAATTTACCTAAAATACATTTAGAGCCATAAAAAAAATAAACTTAGAGTCATAAAATAGATTCACTTTACATTGAGTTCTCTAACAGAACCTCAGAATACCCAGCACGCTCATTGTCAGCTGTAATCAGACGTTTAGTATATAATACTGTATTTATTCACGTCATGACAAAAGAAGGAATTACTTCTACTGAGAGTATGAAGACTTTTCCTTCCGCACCTTGGGGAGATAGCTTGTGTTTCATTGGCTTTTGGAAATCCTAGACTAAAATATCAAATGAGGCACAATGTAAGTTTCGACTAAAAAGTAAGAAATTGAATAGGGCAAATGGTTTGAATTAGCAAGCAATACATGGAATATTTGTATCATTTTATGTGAGAGTTGAATCATTAAATTTCTGTGTATGTTAACTTGGCCGTAGACTCAATACTTGCCTCCTAAGCAAGTGCTTTAAAAGTGCTTATTGTGCTTTAAAACAAACAAACCATCAGAATAAGCTGACAAGGCTTGGCTTAGCCAGTTAACTTTGAAGCAGTAGAACAAAAGAGGACCTGTAAATTAATGTTCTGGCAAAATTACAGCTTTGTGGAATAGGGCAGCTTGCGACATGCATGGAGTGTAACTTTGGTGGTGGTCTTTCATTTTTAAATTTCCAGGCCACTCACTTTCACAAATACAGTTCTGTTCAGTGTTTACATGTTAAAGTCTTTCACTTGCACCTGGCATCTTTTTATTTATGTGTTTGGTTTTCCTTCTTCCACAAGTTTCTAAATGCATATTCTTGTGCAGGACAAAGAAGATGTTCCGGTAGAAATGTCCAATGGAGAACCTGGTTGCCATTACTTTGAACAGCTCTGCTACAATGATATGTGGCTTAAGGTTGGGGACTGCGTCTTCATAAAATCACATGGGTTAGTGCGACCTCGGGTAGGAAGGTAGGTGCAACTTCTTTATTTGCAGTTTGTGTCTATAAAAATAACTTGGACAAAAGACGGGGTTGTTGCAAAAAAGTGTAAAAGAGGATGGGAAAAAACTTCTGAATGAAGCTAATGTTACAAGCTCTTAATAGATTGAGGTAGAAGTTTAACCGCCTTATAAAAAGGTGATAGAGTTGTACAGTTGAAATAGGCTGTTCTTCTCCACTCGTTTGTTCAGTCTTCCTGAACAACCTAGTGTGTCCAGCCGTCTCATTTAGGAGGGACGGCCTTTCATTTATGTCAGTGGTTTGGTTTTCTTTCCAGAATTGAAAAGATGTGGGTGCGAGATGGAGCTGCGTATTTCTTTGGTCCAATCTTTATACATCCTGAAGAAACTGAACATGAGCCAACTAAAATGTTCTACAAGAAGGAAGTGTTTTTGAGTAACTTGGAGGAGACCTGTCCGATGACTTGCATCTTGGGTAATTATTAACAACTTTAAATACAATGGGCACTCTTTCTTTTCCTGTACCATCTGAAGTGATTTATACCTATGCGTAGGCTTGATTCCAAGTACATTTTTTTCAGTTGAGTCAGGGAGGAGAGAGACTATTCAGTCCATTTCTAATATGCATTCCTGTCTTTGGGACCTGCAGTGAGAATTTTCACTATAAGGAAGCTTTCTTGCAATAAGGGAATTACATGTATGATATCAAAGTGAACGTTGTCTGCAGCCAGACAACAGAAAACTCTGTTGGTTTTGCTTGTTAATGCAATTATTCTAGTATGTTTTACCTGGAAAGTTGGTCCAGAATGAGGTTGAAATTCAGTTTGTGGCATAAGATGATGACTATGTACTTTGTTTTTGTAGTTATGATGCTGCGCTAAATATAGTTAACTGACTAGCAATCATGGAGTTTTGTTATTTTGGAGGTTTTCTTGTTCTTTAAAAAAATCAAAAAAGCTGCATTAAGTTCATCTAGGTTTCTAGTGAGTGGTGTTATTTAATAGCGATATCGATCGGTGTATTTTCCGTAGTTGGGCCAAATACTGGGAATCTTCCGGACTTACGAGACTGGCAAAAACTTGAGTTTCCACACTTTTTGTAAAATGCCTGCAAGTGTTGCTGCTTTCTTACCCAGCTCTTTCATTTCTGCAGGAAAGTGTGCTGTTCTGTCGTTCAAAGACTTCCTCTCCTGCAGACCAACAGAAATCTCTGAAAATGATGTTTTTCTTTGTGAGAGCCGCTACAACGAAAGTGACAAACAAATGAAGAAATTCAAGGGGCTGAAGAGATTTTCACTCTCTGCAAAAGTTGTAGACGATGAAATATATTATTTTAGGTAAAAATGTGATGGGAATGCGACGGTCACCTGAACACTCCTCTGTGTTGTGGTAGACTGACCCTGGTGGGCAGCAAAGCCCCCACCTAGCCACTTGCTCACTCTCCCCCAGCAGGATCAGGGAGAGAATCGGAAGGGCAAAAAGAAGAAAAACTCTTGGGTCAAGATAAGGACAGTTTAATAAGTGAAGCAAAGCTGCACATGCAAACAAAGCAAAATAAGGAATTAATTCACTACTTTCCATCATCAGGCAGATGTTTAGCTGCTTCCTGGAGACCAGGGCCTCAGCATGCATAATGGTTGCCTGGAAAGACAAATGCCATAACCCTGACTGTGCCCCTGCCTCCTCCTTTCCCCCAGCTTTTATTGCCGAGTGTGATGTCATATTGTATGGAATATCCCTTTGGTCTGTTTGGGTCAGCTGTCCTGGTTATATCCCCTCCCAGCGTCTTGCCCACCCCAGCCTACTTGCTGGGGGGCAGAGTGGGAAAAAGAAAAGGCCTTGACGGTGCCAACTGTTCATCAATAACTACAACATCGCGGTGTTATCAACACTGTCGTGGTCACAAATCCAAAGCACAGCACCATACGGGTTACTGTGCAAAAAATCACCTCCAGCCAGACCCACTATGTACACAAAAGTCATAGTTGTAGGAGAAGATGAACTTTGACTAACTACACGTCTTTTCATGGTTTTAATACCAGTGGATGTTTTCTTTTTCTTCTCCTGACTTTAGTAAAAGTCGTTACATTATCAGATTGGTAAATTCTCTTGGAAGTTGTTAAAATACTTCAGTCCTCATTACGGGTAACAAATAGCTTTCCAGTTGGTGGATCTTGATATTAAAAATATTAAGTTCTAACTTAAGTAAAATGTAAAATCTAAGGAAGATGTGGTTTTAACTGCTTTCTGTTGCAGAAATGAAGTATTTGTTGCATCGAAATCACCTTCTAACTCATAAAAAAACCCAACAAAACCCCTTTAAACAAGTGACTAAAATGAAACACTGTCCATGGACATGTAATGGTTTCTGCTCAGTGTTCTGAAAGGAAGCACAAACGTATCCTGAGTCAACATTGTTTCCATGTTGGTCAGGGATAAAGGAAGAAAAGTTGGTTTTCTCTTAAAAAAATATATGCTGTCTCCTGTAAAGTATGAGTGTATTCTCATCTGCTTTTTGTCTTCCTCCTCCATGTTTCAGAAAACCCATAGTTCCTCAGAAGGAACCATCTCCACTACTGGAAAAGAAGATTCAGCAGCTGGAAGCAAAATTTGCTGAGTTGGAAGGAGGCGATGAGGACATGGAAGAGATGGGAGAAGAGGAAGGTGATATGACTGAGACACCTTCTATGCCTCAGCTTCAGACTCCGTTAGCTAGTGAATTGGATATAATGCCTTATACTCCACCACAGGTAAGGATCTTCCTAGAAAAAACTTTAAACCTTTATATTCTGCATTCTTTCCCCAACCCAAATAAACAGATAAACAGTAATGTTTTGTCATACACACAGAAGAGATTTATACTTCAGTTTACAAGTCTCTGGAATAAATGACATGAAACAGTTTTGGCATATCCAATATGATATCCAGGTGATAATATTTAAGTCCATTAAAGTACTTTTAAAGGAAATCATTCGGTTGAGGAAAATCTAGGGTACATTTTTGTATGATACGTTAACGTTATTTCCAATTAGTAGGTTTTCTATGACACTTGTTCAGAAATATCATGTCCGTATGTTAGATATGAAGTTGGGATGTAAGTGATTAATTGTAATTCTCAATTTACCCAATGCACATTTTTAAGCTTTTTCTTAAATTTTGAAAAAAGCTACCATTTTGGGTGGTATGGTTTTGCTACATTTTTAGAAAATGCTGTGTGTCATCCTCGAAGGGGGAAAAAACAAATCACTTTTTTAGTATTGAGTTAGCTTTCCTACTTGGAAATAAGAACTTGTTAAAAAAGTTAGAACCAGATGTCCTAGAAGCTTTAGTATTAATTTTCTGATAAATGAATAGGAGGTAAATGAGGAATTGTGTGTGTGGTTATATGCAGCTTAAATGGGGGACTTTTGCCCCCTTCCCTTTCATGCTGTGTTTCTTACACAAGCCCTCATATTTATATAGCTGAGTATTGATGCAAGGTGAGGAACTGCTTTAACTGGAAATTGACCTAACCAAAAAAGTTGGTTTGCAACTGGGTTGAGCCCTTCATCCGTCTCCTTGTCTTGCCACATCCAAGCTAATGCCAGCATTAAAGAGGCAATGGGAATGACCTGCTGGGAACGGAAGGGAGTTTCAGACACTTTTGTAACTAGCAATGTGGATTTCTGCTGCATTACATTGACTGTGAAGTGACAATCTCATTGGTAATTGAAGAATGGTATGACCCCTGGATAGAAATAGCTGTCTTTGGATGTCATGAAAGAGTTGATGAAATTGCAAGCTTTAGCTTGGTTTGTGATTTTTGCCATGTGGGCAGACCACCAGATGCATTTTCCTGTGCAAGGTTGTGTTCCTGCTCTTGTTTTAACATGCTGAATTTCATCAGTAGCATGAAAACTCTTGCAGAGTACTAGAAATAAAAACATGTTACCAGCATTAACAAACTAATGTAACACTTTAAGAAGGGGAAGATAACTTTTTATAAATCAAAATATTACCATTGTTAAGCATTGCATCTGCTGAAAGCAGCTTAAATAGGGATCATTGGACATTACAGATGTCCTCAGACTTCCTTCTGCAGCATTCACTGCCTTCTGATCTCCTTTGCTTTCTGTCTTTCTACATAGCTGTGTTTTGCTCAGATTCCCTTGAGAAGTTTTATTTAAATACTAATGTATAGTATCTCTTTAAAAAGTCAGGTTGATAGTTGCATTATTTTTTTTTTTTTAATTGTTTGTGATGGGACAGTCTTGCAGAACTTTCAGGATAACTGGTGAGAAGTCAGGCTCAATGGGTGTATACCTTTAGGCAGATGTGAACTCAAGCCTACAACTTGAAGTAAAAAAAAACCAGCCAACCAACCAAACAAAAAAACCCCAAACCAAAAAACCCAACCCAACCAACCAACTAAAACCAAATACTGAAAACTAAAAATTTCAGAAAACTGAAAAGGATCAGTAGCAATGCATGCTAAGAAGGGAATGATGACACACAAGTGCCCTGGCAGATTCCTCACTGCTGATTTGGAAAGAAAAGGCGTGTTGTGTCTGAGCTGGCATTCAGAGTACAGTTTAACTCTGGTAGAAAGATAACTGACATACAGCACAGAAATAAGCTTTCTTCTTCAGATAATCTGTTCTATTTATGTCCCTAGTGAAAAGTGTCTTTTTAAACAGAGCTCCTAGGTAAAAGGAATGTGTTTGCTTCATGTTCTCTTAAATGTATAGAATTTTATTTAAGAACTATTAAACCCCAGAACTGTTAAACCTTTTTTCTCCCAATAACAAAGAAGCTCTTGCTACACCTAAGGATAAAAGGAGTCAGGACAAGTGAATATGTGGTATTGTGGGGCTTGACAAACAGAGCGTCTCCTGCTGCAGTTTGCTGTGAATCAACCTAAAAAAGAAAAAGATGTGGAACTTCATTTTTTGGTTTAGCGACATGGCTGAGAAAAGGCATAAAAGGGGATCCGGCTTTATTTCTTCTCTTAACACATCTAATATGTGCGGTTATCTCACTCAAATGGAAAAAAATCTGTTCATTTAAAAATATTTGTATGGCAGATGTAAAAGCATGGAAAACACAAGGATCAAATTCAGAATTCTTGCAGTTTCTCAAAGTCCTCTTTGCCCTTCCAAACTGATGGGTTGGCTTTTACATTAGATTACTGTTACTGAAACTTTTGCAAGTGCTGTAAAGGCAAAACCAGCAGATAAACTTGTATCTGTCTAAGTGCAGATGTATAAAATACATCTTTAGATTTTCCTGTTTCTGAATTGAGAACTCTTCATCTGCCAACGTGGGCTTGCCTGAGAAGCTGGAATGAGTTGTATGTGCCCTGTGTGTCATCCCAGAACCTGCGCGGAGTTTTCTTCTTTTATACAGCACATATAAATGTGCTGTGAACCTGTTGTGCAGGTAAACAGTGGTCAGCTTTGGGTTTTTCAGGGAGAAATGGCTACTTATGTAATGAGAGGTGAACACTAGAGAGAAAGGAAAGGCTGGCAGGAAAAATAGAGAGCGTGTAGGGAAGAAAAGAGTGGAAGATGGAGCCAGGGAGGGTAGGGGTTGCAAAGGCCCAGGAGGAAATGGGGAAGCATTTCCCTAAAATGTGCAATGGCAAATAAAATGTTTTACTCGACTTGTGTTGGCAATATTTCTGAACAGCATAATGCATGAATTCTGTGACATAACACAACTACTTTTATTCTCTTCTGGCCTTCCAAATAGTCATTTATTTGCTAGTCAGACTTTCTTAGTCCTGTCATTCAGTTTGGAATGATTTTAGCTAATAGTAAGCATTCTGTGTTGTCTTACTGAGAATCTTTTGAAGCCTCAGTTGTAAAGGTGACATTGTGTCTGGAAGGATTGAAAAGCATCAGAACGTGATTCTTTTTTTTTTTCCCACGTGTACTTTTCATAAGTGTGTGCGTATGCTCTTGTCATGCATCAGTAGATGCAGTCTCTCTTTAGGGGCTGTAAGGTTGGATGGTCTTTGTGCAAATATCTTCAAGAGAAATGCAGGAATATTTGGAAATACTGTTTCTTACAGCTTTGAATTTTGTATGTCAAGAAACTTCTCTTTTGTACACTTGTGGTCATAACTGCTTTTTCTCACAGTCCACTCCCAAGTCTGTTAAGGGCAGCACCAAGAAGGAGGGATCAAAAAGGAAGATCAACATGAGTGGGTACATCTTATTTAGCAGCGAGATGAGAGCTGTGATTAAAGCTCAGCACCCAGACTACTCCTTTGGAGAGCTCAGCAGGCTCGTAGGAACTGAATGGAGAAACTTGGAAGCAACAAAGAAAGCAGAATATGAAGGTAAATAAAAACTAAGATGCTGAACTCTTTTCTGCCTTTTTTTTTTTCTTTCTCAACACATCATTGCTGTTATTCAGATGACAGGTTTAATAAAAGAAGATATTTATGTTTGCGTTCTGGACGTACCTTAAAGAGACGTTCATATTGAGAGATGACTGAAGAGGAGCAAAGAGCGTGTTTATGTTATATAGTGCACAAGTGATAATTTAAATGTCTTTGCCACAAATAACCAAATTAACAAAGACCAAGAAAATGGGGATAAATTAGAAGTAAAATGGCATGAAGCCCCTGGGCTGGAAGTCAGTTGGAAAAAAGAAAGTGAAAGTTTCCTTAAAGGAGGACTGGGGGGAATTTTGGACAAGAAGCTCTTCAGAGCTGTAGCGGCAGGTAAGAAGGCTTACAGTAGGGTGGGAGAAAGTTCTTTGATTAACAGTACTTAGAGTCCTAAAAAGCTTTGGTAGAACAAAATCAAGGAATTTGTTATGATAATGTAATTAGATCCTATTGTTCGGTCTCAGTATTAACCAACAGCTGTAACTGAATTTATTAAGAGATTTCATATCTTGAAGTAAGCCTAGTAATATTTCATAGGCATGAGATACTTTAAACCTTTCTCTCACTCTTTCTTTCTTTCTTTCTTTCTTTCTTTCTTTCTTTCCTACTGATATTGGTCATTGTGTTTCAACTTTGATTAAAATAAAATACAATTGATCCTTAACAGCAGGCCCTTACCCAAGCCAAATACATTGGCTTAACACCCGTAGTTACTACTCTACTTAATAATGTGCCAATGCTTCAAATATAAACCCCATTTTTTTTAAACACCTGTTGCAATTTTATTGGAAGAAAATGCTACTTTGGATAGGAAAGTTTCAAAACCCTAGAAAGTTATTGCTCAATTAAGTTATAACTATGCTTTTTTTAAAAATGAGATTTGGTAGGTTTTCTGCATACTCATAACGTAAAGGCGGCTTTGATACTCAAACTAGAAGTTTGCATGCTATCACTTTCCACCCTCAGCTGTCTCAGTCCTTTCCAAATTTGCAGTAATACCTCTTTGCAATTTTGGAGAGTAATATAGCACCACTCAGCTATGTGCAAGTTTTCTTTGCAAGTGCTGTGAAGGGAAATGGTAATGCTCTTTCTTTCTGGAAATACTGTGGCCTTACTTTTTTCCTGTTGTAGTTTCCTTTTACACCCTTCTAGGTTCGCGTGGTACTTTTTATTGTCAGATCCCTCCTTACAGCCTAATTCTTAAGCAGTAGGATGGCTAACATGTCATCACTTCCTAGCTCAGGGCAGCTTGACGCCTTGCACTTCTGCAGGCAGGAATAGCTGTAACGTACTGGTAGCAACAGTGCCTGTCCACTATGTTAATGATGGCTTAAGTGCTTCCATTTTAATCCTCTTTCTCACTTAAAATTTTCCAAAGCTTTTGTATTTTGGGCTGCCGTTTCTCTGGGTTGGTGTCTGCCCAGAACTAGACTTCCTTTTATTTGGGTTTGAGGGTACGGTATGGGGTTACGAAGCGGCCAAGATGTGTTTGCTTACCATGTGTGAAAGGAGAGAAACTCCTCTCCTTCCACTGTGACAAGTCAAAATTCATGTGCTCTCTAGTATGGACGTGCACCAGGGAACAGGCATGGTTTGACACCTCAGTGCAAAAGTGCCTTTCTATGTTCTGGTGAAAAGTAGTTTGCATTTTAGATCCATTCTGACCCACTGAAAATTTCAGTTGGTATATCTGCAGCGTAATAGTTGGGGTTTTTTAGCAATAGCTGAGCAAAGAACAGGCTGCGTTGGAAATGCCTGCATGGCTAACTGTACTGTGAAAACTCCTCAAAATGAAACAAAATAATGCATGGGATTGAGGTAAAGGTCTGTTTTAAGAAAAAGCTCTGTTCAAAGCAGAATGTCTCTTTCCTGTCTCTTGAAATGTGTTGGAAATGTTGTTTAGATGATCTCAAGTCCTGGCCTCAATGATTTGGGTTTAGTATTGAGTATTAAGGTGAATGCTTAAGGCTGAACTTCTAGACACCTGCTACAATTCCCTTTGGCAGTGTTGTTTCATCTGTTAGTTCCATGGCAGTCACAGCATGGATAGAGATAGGTAAAAGTCCAACACTGTCCTACATCAGGTCCTTCTTCAAAGCTTAGCACTCTGAAATCTGATAAAACTGATTGCTTAACAGTAATTTCTCGTTCATCAGTGTGTCTCCAGAACTTTTGCTTTTGTCTGACCGTTTTTTTTTTAGCTGGCCTAAAGTAGGTGAGAGTCAGAACAGCTGCTTCATCTTTTCCACAAATGCTTGCTCTGCTCTGAAGAGGATTATCTCATTTTCTACTTCAGGATCTACCTTTAAACGTCTTGTGTATTTTGTGCTCAATCACATATGAGTTGCCTGTAGTAAACTTAGGAGTTTCTGTGCGTCGTCATCTCTTCCGGAATCACAGAAGTGAAAAGAAGGAGAGAAATGCCTTTGGAAATGAAATTGGTCTTTCAGTGTATAGAAGTAGTTCTAGAAGCTACACAAACAGGTTCTACAGGAGACAATTGCGTCATAGACATTTGAAGTCATATATTAGAGAAAATGAGTAACTTTTGGTAGGATGCATAACTTAATCTCCTTGATGAACTTCTTCTTAGCCTTTGTTTGACAGAGGACCTTGATTGCTGTTTTAGTGGCAGTTTTCATCTTTCACCAACTGCAAGAGAACATCTAGCCTTTTATTCACTGTTATTAAAATTTGCTGGAGATGTATGCTGCATTCATTTATTCTTTGTTGTTCCTCATTGCGTCAGTCAGATACAACGTTCGGAGTAAACAAATCAGCAACTTGCATGCCCCCAAAGCACCTTGAGTGGACATTCAGTATATCTCCTTTTTCGTTTGCTTGGGTTTTTTTGGTTTTGGTTTTTTCTTTTTTCTTTCTTCTTCCCATGACCCTTTGCCTTTCCCTTAATATAAAATTGTCCTCTGGTCAGACTCCCCTGCAGTAGATCTTTTGTTCTTGCAGTCACAGTGAGAAACTTGATTGAGATAATGACCAGATTCATCGTACAAAGGACACACATGACCTCCAGTGAGCAGCACAATGTGAGTTAGACGTCTTCAGAAAAAAAAAAAAAGCAAAAAAAAAAAAAAAAGCTCAAAGGGGACCAAAATGGGGAAAATGACAGAAAGAGGCAGAAGAAAATATTTTTGGTTCATCAAACTGCTGCTTGTTATGTTCCAAACACTAAGGACCTATCTACACTAGGGAAACTTTGCAAATACTTCCCGACTTTGCCACCACTTTTCAGCTGAATCAGTAGTAAGATACATGGGGAGCCCAAGAATAAATGGGCCGCCGGCTGGCACTGCTGTGTGCTATTTGCATCTTACTTTGTGGCACATTTGATAGACACGGTGCTTAAAAATTCCCGCAGCAGCTGGTAGCAGGTCTGCCGGAGAGCTGCCAACCTTGGCTGTAACTGGTTTAGCTGAGCCAGTGGTGTCAAAAGAGGGAACGTCTTGCCATGTTTTCCTAGTGCGGACCGAGCCTAGTGCTGGACTGCTGCTTCATGTTGGTAACACTGGTGTTATTATCAAATTTGTTCTTTGACTTTTTAAATTTTTATTTTATTATTTTTTTATTTTTATTTTTATTTTTTAGAAAAAGATAAAACTTTGTGGAATATTTTTCATGAAAGGTTCTCTAAAAGTCTTAGCTGCAGCCACATGAAATCAAATCATATGCTGTATAAAAAGATTCATCTGTTCTACTTTATATTTGACTAAACTATGCCAGTGTTTGACTAGTCCTTTTTAATGAACAGATAATATTTTGAAATTCTGGGTTACAAAACAGAACTGAAAATCTAAAATGCTTTTACAGAGCGGGCAGCTAAAGTTGCTGAGCAGCAGGAGAGAGAGCGAGCAGCACAGCAGCAGAATTCCTCCCCCCGGGCAGGCACTCCTGTCGGGGCTCTTATGGGGGTGGTGCCGCCACCAACACCAATGGGAATGCTCAATCAGCAGTTGACACCCGTTGCAGGTAAAACGTAGGAGCTATGACCATTTTTTCCTCATCCACTATATCAACCCCCTTCATAACTCTGAACACTCTCTTGGGTCACTTTGTTCTTATGGAAGAAAAAGCTCAACCTCTTCAGTCTTTCTTCATAACGAGTATACGTAACCGCAGCGGTAGCCTGATAGTCCCACGTTACTTGCTCCAGTAGTGAGTAGCCTGTTGAAAATGCAGGGAAAAAGAGTCCTCCTTGTGTGATAGTCCTGTTCTGTTTGTGTGAAGTCATGTTTATTTGCTCTACTTTGCAGAGTTTGTGTTTAACCCTGCTACGGCAGGAGGGGTGTGAGCTAAATACTCTTCTAGTGCATGCAGTGTCAGTGGAAGGGGTAAAGTAGGAGGCAAATTATTTTTTTGTTGCTGTTGTCAGGAAGGTGAGAGGCAAACAGAATCCAAACCAGATTTTAAATCCAGGCAAAAGCTTCCAGAATTGCTGATTAGGCACTGGTTAGCAGAGCAGACTTGGATCTAGAGCCGTTGCGGGAACAAATACGAAATGCCAACATATTGCCGGTTTTATCAGGTGATTTTCAGAATCAAACTGGGCTTGGAGAACTCTTCCACGAGGTCCCTGTTGCTGGGTGTTGTGCTCGTTACCAGTCATAATCTGACGAGTTCATAGGGAGTATGCTCTGAGTAAGTATTTTCAGGATCAGATCTGAAGACAATGTAGTCTGCTACTATTGATTCCCATTGTATGGGAATCAGCCGTGCATTGGTGAGAAAATGAATTAGATATGATGTGATAGGTTGTTTTCCTTCCCCCATTTCTAATTAAAATAATTAGATTACTTCAGTCAAGGTCAAAATAGTGCCAAGTACGTAAAAATGAGTATTCAGAGGTTTTTTGTTTTGAGTTTCGAGATTTTTAAACGTTCCCTTAAGGCATTCCAATTATTCCATTTATTCTTTTGTCATTTTTCTTTTTCTTTCCCGTCTCACAGGCTGTGGCCATATTTAGAGCTGACAGCCTGAAGTGTTTTTCATCTCGGTCTCTAAATCCCTTTTCAGTAAATAGGCTGCATGGATGTTTAAACTAAAGGCACATTCCTAATTTTGTTCCTGGTTTCCAGATTACAAAGCATTTGTTTACGCTGAGTTGCATTTTTCTTCTGTTGTTTTTCACTTTGTTCGTGGTGATTTTCCTCTGAACTGTTTGCAGTTAGTGTGTGTGTGTGTGTGTGTGTGTGTACACCTATCTGTGCATATATCAAGAAAAAAAAAAGGGAGCTTTCCAGTGCTGATCTTTTTTGTGAGTAACCTACCTCAGTCTAGAATATGTAGAAACGTCATCCTTTGTGGTTGTGTTTTCTTGGTTTGGTTCTTGGTTTTTTTGGCATTGAGTCACTTTTCCAGTTTTTTGGAGGTAGGCGTTGATGGACAGTAATACTTATTACTGCGCTCTCTTAAAACTTCTCCAAAAATGTGCGTTCTGCAAGCTACACATGCTAACTTACTTCCTGTGACAGCCTCCTCAAAATACAAAACCTGTATTTAAGACTATCATCTTATTCAAGCAGTTAAGCATTCAAGTCTCTTCACTTTGGCATTATGAAATGCTTCCTTAAAGCAGGTGATCAAGTGGATCTTTTTAAACTCCTTCTATTTTTGTGGCCCATTTTACAAACACAGTCTTTCATCTTTTAGTTTCCACAAGTCTTACTTAGAAGTACCTTATTCTATTGAGACCTCTTTCACATCCTCCTCCATTATTGGATTGCTTTTTTCTACTTCAGAGAATTTCTCCATCAAGGAAGTTCATAGAACTTCTTTATGGCCCACAGGTCCAAGAAATCTGGATACCTTCTGAGATGCATTTCTCTTAGTGCACAGCGCTCTAGTTTCTTGTGAATTGAGGCATTAGAAATGTTTATTTAATCTTACATTGTTGTAGTAAAAAAAGGGAGAAGTAGTAATTTGAGGACCTCATAAATCACAGCTGTGGGACCTAAAAATAGTTTGCCCATGTTTACTAGTTTAAAATCAAAGAGATAACTTATACATGCCGTATGAAAGTGGCTGCTCTTATAATCTTGTGATGAGCTACAAGAACTGATTTCTCATGGAGATTTGATGACAACTTTATTAATCCAGCCAGTTGTTGAGTATTTCATTTGGAAATGTAGAAATGAGCTTTTGTGATTGATAAATATGGGTTTGTTCCATTGGAGGTTTTCGTCTTTTGTTTTGTTTGTTTTAAAGCTTCAGAAGCGTATGCAAATGCATTGATGTGAATGGAGCTCGGGGTGCGCTGGAAGTACCAGGCAGCAGCTACAGTGATAGCTCTTTATTCTAGGGAGGCTTTTCTTGTTCTTCTTCTTTTGCTTTTTCCATTACAAATATGGATTTCACTATGTTAATAAGGAGGTACAGATGAGTTTCCAGACACTTGAAATAGTAGACCTATTTAATAAGCATCAATCTAGGTGTTCTCTCAAAATGAAGGTTTGAGGGAGATCAGTTCTTTATTTTCTCGTCGTTTGCTCCATGTAAAGCTTTTGGAATTTCAGGTTTCTCACCTTCGTAACTCTTCCTGAGGAAGTGACAAATTTAGCTTGTATTTTGGAGCTGCTCTATCTGTTTCAATCCTGAGTTCGTGACAGCTGTGTGTTCAGTCAGAGATGGTGGGAGTTTTCAGTCAATCTTAATCCAGAAATCCCTGTTCTGAAGGTTTCTTTTATGAGTTACTGGGAGCGTGGCAAAGCCTCAGTAGATGGTTTCTTGGAACAGACTGTAGAAACCCCAGCAATTTTGCATTTCTAAACTTAACTCATCTATCTAGACCTGCTTCTGTCCTCTGTCATCTTTTCATTGTCTTCCAACACCTTTCCTTGGTTACCTGACAATGCATCCATCTAAATTTAAAAGCCTAGAAAAGAGGTGAGGGATGAGCAAGTTACATTCCAGGACCTAAAAAACATAGTGGGGTTATATTGTGTAGGTTCACCTCATAGATAGCAACAAACCTGAGCCCAAACCTAGAGAATAAGCTCTAAATTGTCTTCCCTTACATGCAGAAAACCAAAGTTATGAGCAGCAGCACAATACTGTCTCCGTTGTATCGTTGATTTGCCTATAAAACACCTTGAAAACATTGCTAATGAAATTCTGTAAGGGCCTGTAGGTGCTCCTTGTAAATCTTTTTACTTTGGTCTAGTGCCGTGAGTGTAACTCACTGCAGCTCAGCACATCCAGTGCTGTCAGGTTTAAAATTTGAGTTACTTACTTCCTTAGTTTATACCGGAGATGGTTTAATAAAAATCACCCCTGTCACTGCCGTTAGTTATAAGTATGCGAATGTTGTAGGGCTTTTGTGTGTTAATTTTGAATATGCACTGCACAAAAACGTATAGGTTTTGATTTTTGTTCCAGTTGGGTTTGGTCTGCGAGGTAGCCCACGCGGCAGGGCTGTACGTGGAGCTTCTGTAGTTAGTGTTGTGTTCGGGGTCTGTATGCAGATGGCAGAGCTTTCAGCTGTATTAAAATTGCTTGCGTTAGTAACATTTAATCGTGGCTGAATTTATTCCTTGTGTTAACATATCTGAATATTCAGCATTTATTGCCTCATGAGAAACATACAAATACACTAAATACTAATTCATCAAAAGTATGGTGTTTCATATTTATAACTTTATTTTTAATTTTTGTTCATTTTTTGCAAGATACTAATTGTAGTATCGTCTTGCTGTACTAAAGGTGCTTTTGTTTGGTTTTGTTTTCTTTTTTTTTTCTTTTGTGGATAGTGCATGTCTTACTGTGTAGATCATATTGCATGTTATTGATGCATGTTTGAAATTTGTTGTGTCCTTCAAGGCATGATAAGTGGCTATCCACCGGTGCTGCCACCTTTGCAGGGCCCAGTTGATGGCATTGTTAGCATGGGCAGCATGCAGCCACTTCACCCAGGGGTGCCCCCACCCCACCAACTTCCGCCAGGTATGCCAGGCATCCCAGGCATCCCACCACCCGGTAAGAATGTCATCCTCATTCGCTCCTTATTTCATTTTCATGTACTTGCCGTTTAACCAGTTGTTACAGAAATTATCTGCACCTTGTTTTGGTCATAGCTTTTGTTTCTGAACATTGCAGGTTTGTTTAGCTGCAGCTCACACCATGCACTGCTGAATATATGAGGTAGATGCAAAATGTTGACAGAACACTGTGTCCAGTAAACCAGCAGGGAAAGGTTACTGGAGAAACGTGACTACTGCTCCAGCAGTAGTTCTGCTCCAGCCAAAAGACCTGACGATTGTGCTTGAGTCTATCAGAGGTCTGAAAAGCTGAAATCAGCCTGTTCGTATCCTTATTATGTCATTTCAACAGCATCCTTCCACTCCTCCTTTTCTTATTTAAAGGGCGCTTATAAATGACATACAGTGCTCTCATTCCTCATCAAACTCTTGTTTGGTATGTTAAATGTTTATCGGTAGTCAGACTGCGCTTAAACGAACCTGGTCACGCAAGATGCCTTGGCCACTGCGGCACTGACATGTGTTATTATGTTCAGATTAAACCTTGTTGGTAGAACAGTAACTGAAAACATTGGGGACAAGGTGAACTCAGTATACTATTGTGGCCAAATTTTGAATTGATTTTTGAGAGCGTATCTACTACGTTTGCTATTTTTTTGCCACACTTTTGATGAAAAGTGAGGCTGAATGAAACATAAACATTTTTCCTGTGGTAATGCCGTTAGCATGTGCCCATTATGGGGAAAAATGTTCATCCGCCTGCTGATTCTTTCCACTTTTACCTCGGGTAACTCATGTGCCTGTTTAAAAGATGTGCATCCCATATGTTCAGCAGTTAAACAAGCTGTGGACAGAAGTAGTCTTGTTTGCCCCCCCCTACTGCATTTGCAACTGTGTTTATCAAAAGCACTGTTAAGACTTTTATCTGTATGTAAATTATTTTGGGTTGGGTGGGTTGGGGTTGTTTTTTTTTGTTTGTTTGCTTGCATTTTTTTTTAAATCCATCAGTATTAGGTGTGCAGCTTGCAGCTTCCCTGGTGTGTAAGATTCACCATAATGTCACGTAGAGGGAGTAGGAAAAGAGCTGTGTGTCTGCGAGCCTGTCTCCGACCCACCAAGGCAGTGACATTTAGCACACATCAGCCAGTGCAAACGTTTGGGAGGTGAATCCAGGGCAATGCATTTCTTTGAAGAGTTTTTCCCACTGGAGAAGTGGGCTGCATGTATGGTGTTTAAAACTGAGAGGTTATGATTAGGGAAAAAAAAATGCCTGGGAATGGAGGACCGCACGTGAAGTGGTGCTAAATTGGGCAGGGTGGGCTAAGGGTGAAGCCATGCTCTGATGCTGGAAAGGTGAGGGTGCCCTCCTCCAGACCTCTTCGCTTTGGACCAAAAAAAATCCGTACCATATTCCACAACTTGTATTATCAATGTTTTTCCCAACTTCTGACTTGCTGTTAGTACAGGTACATTTAAAATGTGGGCTGTGATCAAGTGGAAAATGCATTCAAAATACGCTTTAGTGTGCAAAATGCAGCGGCACATCTTTTGATCACTGATACAGAAATCTGCATGCAAATTAAACCCTCAGGAAGAGCAGAGTTATTTGCAGCTTTTTCCAGTGAATGAATACGAGAAGTGGTATAAACAGAAAGAAAAGCAGCAGCACGCATAACTTTCATTTTTTTCAGACCAAAGCATCTGTATGTAAAATATCAGGAACTGCGTGACTCATTTAGCTTTGTAAATTTTTGTAAGACTTAACATAGAAACACTCTGTGCAATAGGGAAAAGCCTTAATATGTTTGAGAAAAACTAACAGGTTTTTATTTTTTTGAAATTTGTTTCAAATGTTCACCGGTCTCATATATAAGACTATTTAAGCTTAACCTGCAAGTTGTGTTTTATATTAGTGAGATCTAACAGAATTTTTGCAATGGCTTGGATTTCCTCCTGCTGTGAATATATTTTATAAAACTGAGCACAAGGAAATGTTAAATGTTGCTAAAGCAAATCAGCATTTCCTTTCTTAAAGGATTCCAGGAAGATCCTGTCAAGCCAAAGGTGTATATTATAAACGAAAAGATTTAGTCAGGCGATCACTAAGTAATGTGAAGAAAAAAAGTAACAGAAAACCAAAAGTTAATCACTTTGCATTTCTTTAATTAAGTTAATTCAACAGGCCACATATCAATGTTTGGTAGTTGTCATGTTGGCTTTTTTTTTTTTTTTTTTCATTCAGAAACTTCTAAATTGTTTTTTTATTGGGGGAGAGGGGGATATTTGAATGACGTACATCTGCTTAAAATAACTGTGAGCAATGATACCAAAGTATAAATTCTTACTATAAAAGACCAAAGAGGTGTTTGCCACCACTCTGAAATAAGACTAATTATTTTATATTTTGGAATATAGGTGTTATAGGCCAAAATGTGTCCCCCATGGTAGGCACTCCAGCACCCGGCGCAAGTCCTTTTGGACAGCAGGTGAGTCATTTTTGCATTATTTATGAGGCTCTAAGGCTCCGAATTAGCGTTTAAATTAGCATTTAAACAACATCTCAGTTAAGATGTGTAGGGTTGCACGTAGCCTTCCCAGGGAGAACATAAACCAAATGTATACTGATGTATTTAGAACCAGGTAATATTTAGAACCAGTTAATATCTTACACTCAGAGTAAGATATTTCTTGGTTGAATTGTTATTAGACTAATTAGATTCTGTCCAGTGGGATAACTTCTGCAGTATAAGCAAGACAGTGTTTTGTTTTCCTTCTACTAAACTAAGACGGGTCATTTCAACACAGTGTTAAACTGCTGATAATTTAGGTTTTGCATGCTTTGGTGATGCAGAGGGGATGCTGTCTATTTTCTCAGCCATTGATGACCGTTTGCTTCCATATTTCAAACTGACAAAGCAGATGTTCATCAGCAGTTCAGAATTTGTGAGTTTGGATAACAATGATGATCAGATGTTCCTTCTCAGTGATTAATACAGATGAAGCGTTCAGCACATTTCCAATTGTATTGACTAGTTTTTTGCATCATGAAGAGAAATGTGATTTTGGCTAGCGAGCTTAAAGAAAAACAGAAGTTGAGTGGGAAAGCAGTAAAGTGTGTACGTCATGACATTGAGTTATTCCAGACCACAGGATATCTGTGCTGCGTCCTCAGTACGGCTACTTAATCACAATGGTGGGAATTCTTCTGTGTGGCTCTGATTATTTTTTAGTGTGTGTGTGTGTGTGACTGTGATTTTTGCCTGACAGTGATTAGTGTTTATTCTGTGGAAGTATCACAGTCATCCAAGGATCAGGGTCAATTTGGATTGGATGCTTTAGGGGTAAACCCTGCACTTCACAGACCACACGATTTATGATCAAATTAGAGAAAACATGAAATTAAAAGGAGGCAAAAGGGGTAATTAAGGGTAATAGGACAGAGGAGAAATGGTGATAGTAATCAGAATATGTTTACATGTTAGATTAGAAATATGAGCAATGTTGTCTGCTAAAAACGAATATGGTTTGTTTGCACTCCTCTCTGTGCATCTCGGTGACCACAACAGATAGCCCTGGCTGAAGTGGGTGTCTTCAGGAAAAATTTCCTTATGCCTTTGCTCATAACCTGTTTTGAAGCTCCACTGTATGAGGATGACCTGATGCACAGATGTGAAGCGGCTTCCCTGCCGTCCCCCAGGTGTGATCTCTCCATCGCTTTTGTCATTGCAGATAGGAATCCTTGGCCCGCCGGGACAGCAGGCACCCCCTCCGTACCCCGGCCAGAGCCCAGCAAGTCAGCCAGTTATGCAGCAGCCCACAACTCCCATGTTCGTCTCCCCTCCACCAAAGACACAGAGGCTTCTTCATTCTGAAGCCTATCTGAAATATATTGAGGGGCTTAGTGCTGAATCAAATAGTATTAGCAAGTGGGACCAGACCCTTGCAGGTAAGGCTTTTGATCACAGAGTGGGATGTTTCCAGACAGAACGCGCTTCTCTGTAACCATTAATATTTTTTACTTTTATAGAAAACGCGAAATAAACCTGCTGCTTAATAAAATGTACACATGCAAGTAGTTGTTAAAAACAAATCAACAGACTGGAAATATATATGTTATCAGCAGACTAATTCCATCGACGTTGTATAAATCTAAGACTCAATTGTATGGGCTTAAATATAGGGGTAAAAGTTATGCTGTAGAATTATACTTGCCTTTTTCAAAAAAATTGTTGTGAATATCAAGGCCGGTAGATAATTGGACCATTTCTTGACCTTCCAGCACGAAGACGAGATGTCCACTTATCAAAAGAACAGGAGAGCCGACTCCCTTCACACTGGTTGAAAAGTAAAGGGGCTCATACCACAATGGCTGATGCATTATGGCGTCTGCGAGACTTGATGCTACGAGACACCCTTAACATCCGTCAGGCGTACAACATAGAAAATGTTTAGTTGCATAATTGCTTCTTTCTTTGATACCGACATATAAGGAGTTTTGTGGAACAATAGCTGTTTTAGTTACTGGGTGGGGAGAGATAACCGACAATAATTTGTATTGCATTTTACTGTACATTGCAAGACCATTTTTATATAAGGACACTTTTAATAAGCATATTTCACTTTTTGTTATATTAAGTTGACTTTATCAAATACACGGATTTTTGCATATGTTTTCTTTGTTTGAAAGGCGATTTCATAATTGGTTAAGTGTAGTCAAGGATTCATCTTTCTTATACTTTATTGCTGAGAATCTGATGCCATTGTTTTTATATAAAATAAGAAAAAAGAAAACAAAGTATTTACAGATTGGTACAGTGGAATGTGAAATTAGTCATAGTTTACATCTTAGAAGAACGTGTGTACATGTGTTTGTGTGTGCTAGCCACTTCCAGCAGAAATCTCGCTTGGATGTGAACAGGGAGGATCTCTTAAAAGAAGCTCAAGGTAAGATGTGCGTTGACACTAGGGAAGAATGACATTTCAGGTCAACACCGAGGCAGCTGAGTGGGTCACAGCAATCATGGAAGTGCTAAGGTGGACGGGACAAGGGTGTCTTGACCACTAATGTTGTCCAGTCCTGTCCAGTTATTTAATTGTGTAGCCAAGGCCATTGTGATGCTAAATCAGTAACAGAATACATGTGCGGGCATGTCCTTAGCCGGAGAAATGCTTCATCTGCCTTGACCTGCTCTGGGGGTTCTGCGATGTCCCTAACAGCGAGCAGTGGGAAGGGGAAGCTTCCTCTCTAAGCAATTCGGCATGTGGGAGAGGCGTGCAGAACCTCAAACCAGTTCAGGTCTTGGAAGGTAAGTTAGAGGAGGAGGAAAGTTGAGTTCTTTTGGTAGTGAAGTAACATGATGTTTTTAAATTCACGTATATTCTGTTAATGATTGGGCATTGTAAGACGTTTTTGTATGCCTTCAAGTGTATTGATTCACCTTAATGAAAGTTTTGCAACGCAAAATTTGAGAGAAATTTGACACTTCAATTAACTTCAAAGTAAAATACTACTGTATGCTATGTGAAAGTTCAGCATACCTAGTATGTTGGAGAAATAGAGTACTTTCATTGCAGCCTTCAGAGGGTTTGAGGCTTTTTTTTTTTTTTTTTTTTTTTTTTTAGCTAATTGAGGTAGGTGTAGACTCTTCTTGCCAAATTTCAAGGTCGTGACTGCCTTCTGCTAAAGACTTACCTGTCCTTGTAACTAACCAACCTTTTGAACTGCGAAGTTATTTGTTTAAAGGTAAATCCTTTCATGTATTTAATTTTCGAAAAAGAATTAATACTTTTGGATTGCATTCAGTAACTGGGAAGGCTATATGAATTTGAAAAAACTGTTGGCATGGACATGATCACTGCAACTCAGTCCAAAAGAACGGATTTACTGATATACTTCATCTTACTGCTACAGATGTTCATCATGTGGAAATGTTTTTTAAAGTCTAATAGTAAGAACATTTTTATTTGAGTACATTTGGCAGAAGGTTAAGTATGTTTCTCAAAATACTGGATATCTTGGGTTCTGTTTTACTGATATAATTGATGAGGGAAGTGACACGTGCAAGTATAAACTGTTACTTAATTTTACTGGCTAATTCCTCTCCCTCTCCTGTTGAAATCCTCCAGTCATTGCACAGAAAACCAAATTACAAATAGGCACTTAAGGACAGTTTAGGTCAGATGTGCAATGGATGTGAAGAAAATAGAGCTAAGCAACGTATAGGGAAATTACAATTTTGATCTCTACAAGTAGCACACCTGTGGTACAGAAATTCTTTATCGGCCTTTGTAAATGACCAAGTTTATTTAAGTAGAAACTGAATAGTCTTAGACCACCCCCGTATATACAATATCATCTTAAAATGTGTTTAAATTACCATAGGCTTTGCAATTTTTAGCCACAAAGATGGGACATTGAAGCGAATCAGGCAGCAAATCCTAGTTTTTGAGTATTGGGAACTATCATGGATTGTACTAATACACCACCAGATTCTCCTGCTTCTCAGCATTAACAAAAATTACACCAAAGAACCTGGGATGGATTTTAGTTAAGTTATTGTTTTATTTATTTTCTTTTGAGGACTGGATGGGACTCCTTTGGAGCCTGTATAACTCAGATGTTTAATTTATCTGAAGGTCAGTGACGAGCAGACTTGCAGCACTGGCTCTCTCCGGCCCGAGCAGCTGAAGCCCTACTTTCACTGCTCTTTCCGGCCCAGGAGCAAGAGATTGGAAGTGCAAACGAAACCTGGGTCCTCCCGCAAGGCAGTGCAGAGCACTACCGCTAAGCCACTGGGCTGGCCCTAACCAATTATTTTAAGCTTTGTTTATTTATTTCAGAATCATGTCTCTCTACGTTGGAGGCATTTCAGTTGATTGCAGTAAAATTTAGGATATAATGGCTACAGTCTAGAATTCAAAACCAGCAAAAGAATCTGTTTTCTGACTCTGGTTTAAAAAAAGAAAAAGACATGTCTGTCTGTCTTTCTCTCTCTTTGTGGGTGTTTGAACCCCTCGTTTGTTTTCCACTGCCGTTCATTGTACTGGCATAAACAAAACTTTCATATTAAAATAAAGGTATGTATGGGAAATGGTTGGCTTCTGTGAGAGTGGAAAAGAGATTAATCTAGGACCGGTATTTTCATAAACCAGTTGGAGATGACTAATAATTATTTGTTCTCTTCCTCAGTCCTTCCCTTCCATGAGAAAATTTACTGTTTGTGTAAAAATTCAAAACGTTGATGTTGGTGACTTTTTTTTTCAGCATATGTTTTCGGACCTGGTTAATCCATGCTTGGCTTTTCATTAGATCTTGTACTCCTGAAGGTTAAGCTGCGAACCAGGTTTATAACATGTATGTACCATCACTTTGTTTACCTGAGTCTTTTTAATTTGAATAAAAATAGTTTGCAAAGTGTTTTGGATTAACCAGGTTTGAGTGTCCCATCAAGATTTCTGTTAGGATTTTATTTCAAGTAATTCTGGCTGTTGCTGATCCAGATTTTACCAAGTCCTTGGTATGTACGTGATTGTGTGTGGGTAAAGAATCCTTTTCATATTGTCCTGTGTATTGCAAGACATGCTCAGAACAGTGATGCTGGAAAATATGGTTGAAAATTGAGCCATAAGAAGCATGAACAGTAAACCTTGAAAAATATGTGATGCATTGGGAACAAGCTGAGTGGAGATGACACGATTCAGTCAGTCCCAGTTGCCCCCATATTAATTGCTTTGATAATAAACAGCAAGCCTTAATTTCATACTGGAAGCTGACCTGGTTCAGGACTCTCTTTTATGTAGCTGTATAATAAAGGAAATTAGAACAGTAATATGGAAAAAAGCATCTTTTACACAATAAAATTAAAATCTAGAATGGAAGTTTTCTTTAATACCACAGATGGCAAGGAAAATTAAGCAGTATCAAGTTCTCAAGTCTCAAGGTGCCTCTGACATACAATTTACAAAGAGCTATTCAAACAACCAGAACAGATAGCATTATATTTAATTAACATGCATTTGTGTCTTGGACCCCGGGGATAAATGCTGCCTGTCATGCAGTCTGCCAGCTTTACGGAACTCCACCTTTCTACAGTTTGATGGTGGATGGTGCAGTTGCACAGAGGAGACTAATTCTGATCATCCTCCACATCTTGTTTGCTCAGTCTGAGATACTGAAAATCATCCGTAGATGAGAGATCGGTCCTTCCTGCACCAACAGGGATCAGAAATCCAGTGCAGAAGTGTGGCCATGCGGATTACCATCTGTTAAAGGAAGCAGCAGGAGAGACATGAAAAGAAATGGAGAAGAATGCACTGAAGTGCACAGCAGAACCAGTAACCTGTGTGGCTCAGCCCAGGTTAAGCGAAGCCTGATGAAAGCCTTGGACAAAAATGGTGAAGGATGGTTGATCCTTCATGAAGTCTGTGCAACTGTCTTCAGGGAGTGCCCAAATTCAGTTTCCATTGGATGATTTTTGGGAGGACTATAATTAATCCTTGTGCTTGTTGCAAAGTACCAACATCCAGCAACAACTTAAGGAAATTCCTTAGCACCAGTCATCCCACCAGTGCCTGTTGCAGATTTTTTTTTGCACCTCTCTTGGAAGGAGCTGGGGCTGGCCATAACCAGAGCGCAGCTACAGTTTTGTATCTGTGTATGAAGTCCAAAGTGAAAGCCTCCACTGAAAGTAATAAAAGTTTTGCTCCCGGGAAGAATTCACCAGTATGTAACAGAAGACTCTTTCTTCCTTTTGGTATTCTTAAAAAGCTGGGACAAAACTCTGCTGCACCCCTGTACCAGGAAGGAGTACAGGCTGGGCACCTACTTCCATTATCAGAACTTCTTTTCAGTGCTTCCCTGGCTTGCCACAGTGTCTTTAAGCAGGCAGCATCCTTGGCTGCACAGCAGCAGGGAAGTGATCAACAAACAGATCCATTCTTTCCACAAAATCATTCTGAATCGGCAGTGAAATCATCCCCTCTCTAATGCTGGAGTGGTGAGCCGCATCGCTCTTACATAAGTATCGCTCACTGTTTGCAGATGACTATTTACTGCTGCTGCATTAGTGAGCTGAAATTTTCCATGCTTGATATGTATATTGGCATGACTTCTACAATTTGGATGGTTTTCAGCAGAAATGCTTTGCTAATTCTCAGAATGTCCTGCTGCAAAGTGAACACATGAGACCGCTGCTTCTAGATGCTGAGCTGTGTTCTGGGCTGACACCAGATGAACTCCCTGAAGAAGGAACAGACGTGCTCAACCCCAGAACTGGCAGGGGCTCAGCAGCGCTTAAAACGAAGGCCGTGTTCCTGGCTTGCTTCCGCAGTGCACAACAGCAGCAGCGGTGTGTTCCCAGTGCTGGCCTGAGCTCCGAGCCAAAGGAGAATTCTTGCTTCTGCCCCGTTGCCCACCACCATAGTAGACGGATGGGGGGAAGGTGGAGGACGGGAGTCAGAAAGAAGATGGGAAAGAGCACAGAACTAGGAGTCAGCTAGGTCAGGAAGACCGGTGACACAGAACTCCCTGACACCAGACTTGTCGTGAGCGACTGCAGCCTGTCTCACTTTCTGTTTACCTGGCTGGAGCCACCCAAGATATCATCCAGACATGCCTGGCACTCTCAGCTGCAAATGGGAAACAGTAATAAGCAAGAGCTCTGAAATGAAAAATTGGACCTTGACTTACTGACGTCTGTGAAACACTCTGCTACTATTACAGGAGTGCTGCAGGGAAGCCGTGGGACTTCTCACAGCAGGCTCCTGAGTATATAGA